GACAATAACTATAAAAACATAAATAATCCTAAAGCTAGAGAAAAGGTATGTGAAATTGTAGAAAACTTTGGTCTTATTGATATATTTCGAGAACAACATGAGGACAGTAGAAGGTATACATGGAGAAAGAGCAACCCAGTTAAGCAAGCCAGGCTAGATTTTTTCTTAATTTCTGATGATATGCTTTCTAGTGTTAAAAACTCTTCAATAGACCCAGGATATAAATCTGATCACTCTTTTCCTAAAATTCAGATAGAATTTAATAAGTTTAAGAGAGGGAGGGGGCTATGGAAACTTAACAATTCTTTGTTACAGGATATGGAATATCTTAATATAATAAAATCTCTTATTAACGAAATAAAAACTCAATACTGTTTGCCAGTTTATAATTTAGATAGTATCTCTACTATTTCAGACATAGACTTACAATTGACTATTAGTGACCAGCTATTTTTAGAAGTTCTTTTAATGGAAATAAGGGGGAAATCTATTTCATATTCGAGCTATATAAAAAAACAAAGAAATCTCAGAGAAGATAGTCTGAAAAAAACTATACAAGAATTAGAAGATAAAGATAATGTTAATTTAAATGACTTAGAAAATAAGAAAAAGGAACTTGAAGCAATTAGGTTACACAAAACAAAGGGGAATATTATTAGATCAAGGGCAAAATGGATAGAGGAAGGGGAGAAACCTACAAAATATTTTTTGGGCTTAGAAAATAGAAATTATACCTCCAAAATCATTCCTAAGTTACAGAAACAAAACAATGAGATAATATCTGACCAGGATGAAATTTTAAATGCAGTTAAAGATTTTTATGAAAAATTATATGATGATTCAGATGATATAGAAGATATTAATTTGAATGATTTTTTATCCCATTGCAATGTTCCAAAATTAGATGTTAATGAATCAGAAAAGTTAGAAGGTATTATTACATTGGAGGAAGCAGGGAAAACTTTAAGTAAAATGAAAAATAATAAAAGCCCAGGTTCAGATGGATTTACTTCAGAATTTTTTAAATGTTTTTGGAATCAGATCGGTATTTTTGTTGTTAGATCCATAAATTCTGGTTATTATAAAAATGAACTATCTATTACGCAAAAACAGGGTATTATTACGTGCATTCCAAAAGGGGACAAACCAAGACATTTCATTAAAAATTGGCGACCGATATCACTTTTAAATATTGTTTATAAAATAGCATCAGGAGTTATAGCGGGTAGGGTAAAAACAGTCTTAGGTAAACTTATAGATAATGATCAAACAGGATTTTTAGAAGGGCGTTACATTGGCGAAAACACTAGGATTATTTATGATATTATGAACTATACTGAAGACAACTATATACCTGGAATGCTTCTTATGATTGACTTTGAAAAAGCTTTTGATTCGGTATCATGGAAATTTATAGATAAAACTCTTTCTTTTTTTGGTTTCGGGGATAGTATTAGAAAATGGATAAAAACACTACATAATAATGTTTATTCTGCAATAAATCAGGGTGGGAATCTATCTACTTTCTTCAAGGTTAAGCGCGGCTGTCGCCAAGGAGACCCAGTATCACCTTACATTTTCATATTATGTACAGAAATATTAGCAACCAGGTTAAGAAACAATAACAACATAACAGGTATAAATGTTAATAACTTTCCTATTCTTCTCTCTCAGTATGCAGATGATACTTCGCTGATACTTGACGGTTCAGAAAAATCTTTACGGGAATCAATTTTGGAACTGAATTTATTTGCTCATATTTCTGGTTTAAAAATCAATACTAACAAAACTCAGGTAATATGGATAGGGAGTAAGAAATACAGCGATGACACTTTTTTACCAGAATTAGGTTTACAATGGGGTAGGGAAAAATTTACACTTTTGGGGATAGACTTTAGCGTTAATTTACATGAAATACCTAAATTAAACTTTGACAAAAAATTGATTAAACTTAAATCTCTAGTTAAGTCATGGAGTAGAAGACGATTAACTCCTATTGGGAAAATACATGTGATTAAATCATTATTAATTTCACAATTTAATCACTTGTTCATTTCACTACCCAACCCAAGCATTACTTTTATTAATAAGTTAAATACTGTTATATATAACTTTCTTTGGAATGGCAAAACAGACAAAGTGAAAAGAAAAGTTATAACTAAAGATTATTTTGAAGGTGGTCTGAAAATGGTCAACATCAAGTCTTTTATAGATGCTCTAAAACTAGGATGGTTAAAGAGATTTTTTCAAAATACATGTTCTAGAAAGTGGCAAGTAATACTTATGAATATTATTAATGTTGATTTTATTATGAATTGTGGAAATAATTACCTACGTATGTGTCATAGGACATGCAAAAATGTGTTTTGGTGTGATGTTTTCAAAGCTTGGGAAAGATTATTAAATTCTGATTTACCAAAGGGCAGACAACTCTCTATTCTGAAAACCCCCTTATGGCATAACCCACATATAACTATTGGTGGAAACTCTGTCTTTTACAATAACTGGTATGCTAAGGGTGTTAGAGTGATAAATGATATGTTGAAAAATACAAATCCTGTTACTTTCTATTCCTACCATGAATTTGCACAGAAATATAATATATTTACAAACTTTCTTCATTTTCATGGTCTTGTCAAATCTGTTAAATTAATTATTGATACACAAAGGATTCAGGATATAAAACTTCTACTTCCTTTCATTCCTTTAAACATAGAACCATTTTTTGATAAGACTCCAGGAACAAAATATTTATATAAAATATTATCAAAGAATGATGAAATTCCAACAGGCAGGAAAAAATGGGCAGATCAATTTGACTTTGATAATTCTAATTGGGCAAATATTTTTTCCCTACCTTTCAAAATAACAAACGATTCAAAACTTCAGTGGTTTCAGTTTAGAATTTTACATAATATTTTAACAACAAATTCACTACTATTTAAGGCAAACATAGTTGTAAGTCCACTTTGTACTTTTTGTAAATCAGAGTCAGAAACCATAACTCATATATTTTGGGAATGTCAAAAAGTTCAAAATTTACTGCAGAGCTTGGAAATACTCTTAGACGCACTTTTGATTCCTTTTACTATTAATAAAGAATCATTTATTTTTGGGTTCTGGTCAATTAGAAATGAGTTCAGTAAAATTGATAATGAAATTAACATCATCATTAAACATTACATTTACAAAACCAGATGTCTTGAAACCACACTTAACATAAATTCTCTTATCAATTTATTGAAAGACCACCACAATGTCAAAAAATACATAGCAACCGCTAAAGGTGATGCTTCTCTTGAAAGTTTTTACAGAGAGTGGGGAAAATGGAAAAAAGTTTTACTTCTTTAAACTTAAATTGAAATGATTTCTATATCTAGACCCATTCATATCTATTAATGGACTCTTGAACTCTGACAGTTGGTTAATATAAAACTTTTATACTTGTTTTGAATAGATATTACTATCTTTGAGCAAATGTTGCCAATAAAACAATTGTCGATGATTTAATTTCAACTTCTTTATTTTTGGAAGGCCTGTCTCTCTCAAATCTGTCGTCCTTGTCTCTGTGTCGATTGTCTTTGTGCGTATATGTCTTGTGTGTCTGTCTTTGTATGTCTGTCTATCTGGCAGTTCTTGCCTGTGTCTTGTTTGTCTTTGCCTCTGTGCACATGTCTACTTTTGTTTTTGTCTGTCTTTGTTTTTCCAGTAATTATCTGTCTGTCTCTATTTCTTTCTTTCAATAAAACCACAACACATGACTAATAGGATTAGTGTTTATTCCAATGTTTTGAAATGACATCTTGGATAGATTGATAACATATGCGCTAATACATATATACTATCATACTAAGGTAGTTGCTTGTGTATAATATATTGAATGATAGTGTGAGAACTATTCATATACATTTTTTTTAAATGTACATCATGTATAGAGATGAATATTTTGTACAGAACTGGTGTATATGAAATGTTAAATTATGAATGTTTCTTTACTGATGTATGGTGTATATGAAATGTTAAATTATGAATGTTTCTATACAGATGTATGGTGTATATGAAATGTTTAATAAGAATGTTTCTATACAAATGTATGGAGTGTATGAAATGTTTGATATGAATGTTTCTATACAGATGTATGGCATGTATGAAATATTTAAGATAAATGTTCCATACTGTTGTATGAATGTTTCTGCACAAATGCATGGTGTGAATGAAATGTTTAATATAAGTGTTTCTATACGGATGTATGATGTGTATGACTTTTTTTTTTATATAACTGTTCTTTACAGGTGTATGAAATATTTGATATGCATGTTCTATACAGATCTATGTTGTGTATGAGGATATATGAAATGTTTGAAATAAATATACCATAAATAAGCATGTTCTGTTATGATCATGATAGTACACACGATCAGTAACTCAGATTAATATTTTCTTCAGACCCAATACTTAGAAAAGTGGGTATATGAAATGAGTATGGTTAACATGAAATGTGTATGGTTAACATGAAATGAGTATGGTTAACATGAAATGTGTATGGAATGTTTAGGATGAGAGTACAGTGAAGTATGTTATAGTCTCCCAAATATTGTCATGTGTATGTGNAAAAAAAAAAAAAAAAAAAAAAAAAAAAAAAAAAAAAAAAAAAAAAGATATTCTAAGTTCTTCAATCTGTCTTTACAAAACCCTTAGTCACTGGTTTTCTTCGGAGTCTGAAGACAAATATGTTGCAATACAAAATACAGTCAAACCTTATTTTATATAATTATAAAGATACCACCTATACTATAAAAGTGGTCTTTCATTGTAGCTTGTCTCTTCAAACAGATTCATCCAACAACAGCTAACAAAGATAATTAATGCAACTGGGTGGTTCTTAGCACAGGTGGTCTCTCATAGAGGTGGTCTCTCATAGAGGTGGTCCCTTTAGAAGTGTTGACTGTAATGTGAATTTGTCACACTACACTAGTAGCAAACAAAACCAAGACGACATGTACTATGTAGGTAGTTTATTGGATATGAACTCCACATCATCATCCTCATAGTGAGGCTCTGATGGGCTATCCCACAATTCCTCAGGAGCATTTTGGAGTTTGTTGGCAGGGAAACTGTGAATGGAGGTATCGTTGAAAATGTCTGTGAACTTGAAGGTTGTAGGTAGGGGCACCTCAGTACAGTAGGGGTGCAGCTTTGTCTGGTTAAGGAGGAGAAATTATCAACATTTCAATGAGAAAGCTATAGGCTGAAACTCAAGTAAAGTTTAACATTAAGATACATGTAGTTGTATTTCGTTAATATGCCGGTACTTTAGACACATTCTTTTCAATATGGACAAATAAACCAACAAATATGAGTTGAGTTCTATCTCCAATTCTTTAAAAAAAAATACAAAGCTGAGAAAAACAGAACCTAGAACTGGTTAAAATATACAGTACATCACAATATTGTTACATTGGTTTTCTTAAACCAAATAAGGAACAGGTATCCAAGTTCTGTATAGTAAAAATAAGTATACATTTTTGCCCTCTTTTCTTTCATAAGATGCAAATTCAAAGGAAAATAATATAATTTTAATTACAATATATTGGAATCACACCTAGTTCTGTATAGTTTGGAAGGATACTCGTTGAATGTAGCCACCAGTCTCCTCCAGAAGTCTGCCTGGAGTACTGAAATCAAAAAAGGGTTGTCAAAACACTTTCAAAACATGAAGTAGTCTTCAGAAAAACAGAAGACATTTATCAAAGATATGCTGTCATATAGTTCTTACAATCAATTATCTCATAGCACTGCTGCTGAAATACATTGAAGTTAACATATAAAGATTACAACTGTCTTACTTGTCAAGGATGCTGCTAAAACTGTTGCCAATGACAACCATGTTTGCCAAGCGCTGTCTGTCCCAGTTAGCCCAGAGCAGATTGTTGCACAGACTCTTTCCACAGTGGGGCATGTAAAACAGAGTCTTAGTGTCCACAGCACAGGGCCTCTTACCCTCCTGTTGAGATATAAAATGTGTACATGGTACAGGGCCTCTTAACTTCCTATATAAATATATAACATATTCATTGTATAGGGCAGCTCTCACTCCTGTGTAATACTCATATTACACTTTCATTCGATTTTGGCTTTAAATTCTAGGGGAATTCACCCCCAATCTCAACATGGTTTTATATTAGTGGGGGGATGCGGCTTCTCTGGTATCACAGGAGTCTAGCTGCTCTCATCATGGCTTCTCTAGGGGTGTTCACAACCAGAGTCTAGTCGCTTCTCTGGAGACATTTTCAGAGTCTAGCTGCTCACTTCTCTGGGTGGTGTAGGTGCTTCTCTGAAGACATTTTCAGAGTCTACAACCAGAGTCTAGTCGCTTCTCTGGAGACATTTTCAGAGTCTAGCTGCTCACTTCTCTGGGCTGGGTAGGTGCTTCTCTGAAGACATTTTCTGAGTCTAGCTGCTTCCCTCAATACCCCCAGAGTTTAGGCATTAAATATATGGTAGTAATATTGTTGGAGTGAGTAGCCCCTGATGCGCCAAATGTATTACTGTATGTAAATATGTTGCTACAAGAGTAATAAACAGGTTAACTGTTTCTCGTGTGTTAGTTGTATATAAAGGGCCTCTTACCATCCTGTACAGAGACGAAACATATATGTTGTACAGGGCCTCTGACGTATACCCTCCTTTAGAAATACAAATCATAAATATACATGATTCATGGCCTCTTACCCCACTGTGCAAATATAAATGATAAATATACATGATTCATGGCCTCTTACCCCACTGTGCAAACATAAATGATAAATATACATGGTTCAGGGCCTCTTACCCTACTGTGCAAACATAAATGATAAATATACATGGTTCAGGGCCTCTTACCCTACTGTGCAAATATAAATCAATAACTCTGTTTCAGCCCTATCCTCTGTAGCAGTGATAGCCTACATTACTTCTGAAATGCCTTCTGTACTTTGAAGTCCAAAACTTTCTTTTTGTGGTAAGTCTCCAGGGAACAATATCACATCCATTTTCACAGTGTATCAGTGGAGGTCAACACAAAATGTGAGTGTGACCTTGACCCATTTGTAATCTCAGACCTATTCTCACCTCATTCTTGTCAATCACACGGAAACCCATCTCTGAAAGGATGTCAATTTCCCCAGCCCTGAACTTCGGGTCATACAGGTGGCAGTCACTGGCAACAATCTGTCAATTACAAGGATGTGAGATATCTCTCAAATGATATTAAACTTTGTGAAAACTTATTTTCATAGTTGTGTTTCAATGAATACTGTAAGGTGGAATATTAAATATGTACTCTTCACCCTACACCATTAAGCACTTCCCATAAATCCAAAAAGATCGCTTCATGACCTTATGTAGCAATCACTTTTGAAAGAATATAAAAAGTTGACATCTGTGACCTTGACCTTTGACCTTGACTATGCGACAAAGTGACATTACACAACTAGGACTTATGGGGAACTTGTGTACAAAATTTGAGAAAAATCTATCCAGTATTTTCTGTGAAATAATATAGCAATAACACATTTTGATTCTGATATCAAAGATGGCTGTCTGGCATCCAAATTCTTCCTTCTACCCATAAAACAAAGTGATGTTGAACAATTAGGACCCGCAGGAATCTGTGTACACATTTTGAGAAAGTAATTGATAAGTGATAAGAAGCTTAACCTTGAAATCCAAGGTGGCCACCTGGTGGCCATGTTATTCTTCATAAGTAGAACCAATGGGGAACATGTGTACAAAATTTGTGAAAGGTCTGTCCTTTATTTTCTGAGAAAAGTAGTAGCAAACTTAGTTCCTTAAAAACCGAGATGACTGTGAAAAAGTGATAATAAGAATTGTTTACAGAAGGACCAAAGATGAAAGATGATTTGAAAAGATCGCCATCTGATAATGGTGGGCTGAAATAATTACCTTGAGATGTTCCCTCAAAGCCATTAGAAGACACAGTTGGTATCTTGCTATAATGCATTCTGAGAAGTTCCCCAATCCATAACAGATCACCTCGGAGCGTGGAATTTTGGTATCCTTGTCATCCCCTTCACTGTGAAGCACCTTTGTAATCAAATCTGAAACAAGACCTTACATTCATCTCTGACACTCCTCCCACCATTTTACATACTGTATACGGGGAAGTTTTCTCCGTTGTTTAATTTTTGCTTTTTTGCCCTCAGGGCGAATTTATCATGACAGCGAATAATTAGTATGCAACATACAATATATAGTAATAAAATGTGAAGGCAACATTACCACTAGGTGAACATGAATGTTGTCCGCTAAGGGTGAACATATTTGACTTGGTGAAAGTTTCTCCATATACAGTATAATATACAGATGTTATGGTGGGAAAACTTTAAAAAAAACCTTGAATGACTAATTAACCAGCGGAAAAGGTAGTATATGTTTAACACAACATTAGGGCTGAACCAACAATTAATGTGAACCATTAACTTTAGCTTAAACGTATACCAAACAGAAGATATTTTAATGTGAAACAATTTATAAATACATGATATTTTGACAATCATAGAAACTTTGGAAAGTTCATGGCAATAAACAAATTAAGGTTAAGAAATGAAATTACTAAAGAGATGACAATGAATAAGGACAGAAATGGCAAGACACTATATGCCCCCATAAAATAGCAGATCATAAAAATACACCCCCATTGTGATAGCTGATGCCAAGTCGGCATAGACATAGAAGCTTTTCAATGACAAGAGCTAGACTGTATCAATAACTGTAATAAACTGTAACTTACCTGTCACCAAAGTATAAAACTCTGAGCTTGTCAAATCATTCCTGGAAAATATCAACAGATTATGACTGTACAGTTATTATTCAACAGTAAGCTTGTTGCTACATGTACATTCACTTCACACCTTTCACCTCCTCCCCCGCACCACTACCACCAACAGTCAGCTTGTTGCTACATGTACATTCAATTCACACCTTTCACCTCCTCCCCCGCACCACTACCACCAACAGTCAGCTTGTTGCTACATGTACATTCACTTCACACCTTTCACCTCCTCCCCCGCACCACTACCACCAACAGTCAGCTTGTTGCTACATGTACATTCACTTCACACCTTTCACCTCCTCCCCCGCACCACTACCACCAACAGTCAGCTTGTTGCTACATGTACATTCACTTCACACCTTTCACCTCCTCCCCCGCACCACTACCACCAACAGTCAGCTTGTTGCTACATGTACATTCACTTCACACCTTTCACCTCCTCCCCCGCACCACTACCACCAACAGTCAGCTTGTTGCTACATGTACATTCACTTCACACCTTTCACCTCCTCCCCCGCACCACTACCACCAACAGTCAGCTTGTTGCTACATGTACATTCACTTCACACCTTTCACCTCCTCCCCCGCACCACTACCACCAACAGTCAGCTTGTTGCTACATGTACATTCACTTCACACCTTTCACCTCCTCCCCCGCACCACTACCACCAACAGTCAGCTTGTTGCTACATGTACATTCACTTCACACCTTTCACCTCCTCCCCCGCACCACTACCACCAACAGTCAGCTTGTTGCTACATGTACATTCACTTCACACCTTTCACCTCCTCCCCCGCACCACTACCACCAACAGTCAGCTTGTTGCTACATGTACATTCACTTCACACCTTTCACCTCCTCCCCCGCACCACTACCACCAACAGTCAGCTTGTTGCTACATGTACATTCACTTCACACCTTTCACCTCCTCCCCCGCACCACTACCACCAACAGTCAGCTTGTTGCTACATGTACATTCACTTCACACCTTTCACCTCCTCCCCCGCACCACTACCACCAACAGTCAGCTTGTTGCTACATGTACATTCACTTCACACCTTTCACCTCCTCCCCCGCACCACTACCACCAACAGTCAGCTTGTTGCTACATGTACATTCACTTCACACCTTTCACCTCCTCCCCCGCACCACTACCACCAACAGTCAGCTTGTTGCTACATGTACATTCACTTCACACCTTTCACCTCCTCCCCCGCACCACTACCACCAACAGTCAGCTTGTTGCTACATGTACATTCACTTCACACCTTTCACCTCCTCCCCCGCACCACTACCACCAACAGTCAGCTTGTTGCTACATGTACATTCACTTCACACCTTTCACCTCCTCCCCCGCACCACTACCACCAACAGTCAGCTTGTTGCTACATGTACATTCACTTCACACCTTTCACCTCCTCCCCCGCACCACTACCACCAACAGTCAGCTTGTTGCTACATGTACATTCACTTCACACCTTTCACCTCCTCCCCCGCACCACTACCACCAACAGTCAGCTTGTTGCTACATGTACATTCACTTCACACCTTTCACCTCCTCCCCCGCACCACTACCACCAACAGTCAGCTTGTTGCTACATGTACATTCACTTCACACCTTTCACCTCCTCCCCCGCACCACTACCACCAACAGTCAGCTTGTTGCTACATGTACATTCACTTCACACCTTTCACCTCCTCCCCCGCACCACTACCACCAACAGTCAGCTTGTTGCTACATGTACATTCACTTCACACCTTTCACCTCCTCCCCCGCACCACTACCACCAACAGTCAGCTTGTTGCTACATGTACATTCACTTCACACCTTTCACCTCCTCCCCCGCACCACTACCACCAACAGTCAGCTTGTTGCTACATGTACATTCACTTCACACCTTTCACCTCCTCCCCCGCACCACTACCACCAACAGTCAGCTTGTTGCTACATGTACATTCACTTCACACCTTTCACCTCCTCCCCCGCACCACTACCACCAACAGTCAGCTTGTTGCTACATGTACATTCACTTCACACCTTTCACCTCCTCCCCCGCACCACTACCACCAACAGTCAGCTTGTTGCTACATGTACATTCACTTCACACCTTTCACCTCCTCCCCCGCACCACTACCACCAACAGTCAGCTTGTTGCTACATGTACATTCACTTCACACCTTTCACCTCCTCCCCCGCACCACTACCACCAACAGTCAGCTTGTTGCTACATGTACATTCACTTCACACCTTTCACCTCCTCCCCCGCACCACTACCACCAACAGTCAGCTTGTTGCTACATGTACATTCACTTCACACCTTTCACCTCCTCCCCCGCACCACTACCACCAACAGTCAGCTTGTTGCTACATGTACATTCACTTCACACCTTTCACCTCCTCCCCCGCACCACTACCACCAACAGTCAGCTTGTTGCTACATGTACATTCACTTCACACCTTTCACCTCCTCCCCCGCACCACTACCACCAACAGTCAGCTTGTTGCTACATGTACATTCACTTCACACCTTTCACCTCCTCCCCCGCACCACTACCACCAACAGTCAGCTTGTTGCTACATGTACATTCACTTCACACCTTTCACCTCCTCCCCCGCACCACTACCACCAACAGTCAGCTTGTTGCTACATGTACATTCACTTCACACCTTTCACCTCCTCCCCCGCACCACTACCACCAACAGTCAGCTTGTTGCTACATGTACATTCACTTCACACCTTTCACCTCCTCCCCCGCACCACTACCACCAACAGTCAGCTTGTTGCTACATGTACATTCACTTCACACCTTTCACCTCCTCCCCCGCACCACTACCACCAACAGTCAGCTTGTTGCTACATGTACATTCACTTCACACCTTTCACCTCCTCCCCCGCACCACTACCACCAACAGTCAGCTTGTTGCTACATGTACATTCACTTCACACCTTTCACCTCCTCCCCCGCACCACTACCACCAACAGTCAGCTTGTTGCTACATGTACATTCACTTCACACCTTTCACCTCCTCCCCCGCACCACTACCACCAACAGTCAGCTTGTTGCTACATGTACATTCACTTCACACCTTTCACCTCCTCCCCCGCACCACTACCACCAACAGTCAGCTTGTTGCTACATGTACATTCACTTCACACCTTTCACCTCCTCCCCCGCACCACTACCACCAACAGTCAGCTTGTTGCTACATGTACATTCACTTCACACCTTTCACCTCCTCCCCCGCACCACTACCACCAACAGTCAGCTTGTTGCTACATGTACATTCACTTCACACCTTTCACCTCCTCCCCCGCACCACTACCACCAACAGTCAGCTTGTTGCTACATGTACATTCACTTCACACCTTTCACCTCCTCCCCCGCACCACTACCACCAACAGTCAGCTTGTTGCTACATGTACATTCACTTCACACCTTTCACCTCCTCCCCCGCACCACTACCACCAACAGTCAGCTTGTTGCTACATGTACATTCACTTCACACCTTTCACCTCCTCCCCCGCACCACTACCACCAACAGTCAGCTTGTTGCTATAAGTACATTCAATTCACACCTTTCACCTCCTCCCTCGCACCACTACCACCAACAGTAAGCTTGTTGCTACATGTACATTCACTTCACACCTTTCACCTCCTCCCCCGCACCACTACCACCAACACCACCAACCTTTTTTTTATATACCAGAGGCCAACAGGCCTTAAAACCTTAAAAGCTCAACTGTAATTCTGATATTTAAATTCAAAAACAGTTGAATATCTCCAGTTTTATCAAAGAGTGAAAGAAATATAAGCAGTAACAAGTGCTAAATCCTTGGGGGCAGGAAAGACATTAAGAACACAATTTTTCATTTCTTCATGCTTATCAATTTATTATATATATGGTTCAATCTCTAATATTTCCATGTAAGGACTTAGGGAGAACATACCAAGGGGTGAGGCAGGTCCTCAGGTTCAATCCTAGTAGCATGAAGGTAGTCATCTCTTGAATATTGTATATTTGCTTATAGGATGGTGATCTGAACTGGTTCTATATGTTATGGCAAAAAAGTAAGCCCCTAAGGGTGGGACTGGCCCCTGAGGCTGATCCTGGTAGCATGACTGAATTTGTCTCTTCAAATCTAGCAATTGTATATACAGTTTTATGGAGGAATGTCAGGACTCTAGGCCTTTCAGAAAAGAGATTTAAAGTTTTGGACATATTGGATCCCTATGAACTTGGACATCAGGAGAAGTTGTTTAAATATTTTGATATATATTGACCCTTGTGACCTTGAAAGTCAGTCAAGGTTACCTTTGTTTGCAAACTTTACAGGCTCCATCCCAGAATGCTTCCAGTCAAATATCCTTTCAGTTCTTCAGGAAAAGTCATTTGTTTACAAACTTTGTCAGGCTCTATCCAAATAAAGCCAACAGCCAAATATCATGACTCTATGCCTTCTTAATCTTCAGAATAAATTGTTTGAACTTTTTTACCTGTTTGACCCTGTTGACCTTACAAGTAGGTGTGGGTCAGTTTTATTTGCCAACTTCGTAAATCTCCAATCCAGGATGGTATATGCCAAATAACACAATTCTAAGCCCTTCGGTTCTTAAGGCGAAGTCATTTGAACTTTTTAACATATTTGACCTCTGTGACCTTGAATAAGGTCGAGATAATTTTTGTTCACAAACTTTTTCATTTCAAGCTCCATGTTAGGAATCTACCAGCCAAATTGCATGACTCTAGTATAACCATTTCAGTTCTTAAGAAGATTACATTTTAGGATTTTGACATATTTAACCTGTGTGGCCTTGAAAGTGGATCAAGGTAATTTTTATTTTAAACCTTGTTAGGATCCAACCCAGAACGCTACCTGCCAAATATCATGACTCTCGGCCTTTTGGTTCATGAAAAAGTTCTTTGAAGTTTTTCACATATCTGACCTCTGTTGCCTTGAAAGTAGGTCAATGTCGTTTTTGTTAATATATTTTCTTGGAATTTACTAACCAAATTTCATGACTTAATTATACCCTTTGGTTCTTTAGAAGAAGTCGTTTAATTTGTTTACATATTTGATCCCTGTGTCGCTGAAAGTAGGCCAAGGTCAGTTTTATTTGCAAACTTGTATCTTGCAACCCAGAAAGCTAACAAATACAGAATACATTAGAGCGGTGGCTTGTTGAACGTTAAATTCAAGTCTAAAACAGCTGACACGCATAAATATATTCTGTTAGAGTACATATATAATGCAATTCCTGTAACAACAATGAAATATTGAAACTAGACTGCTCAGTAAACATAGGTCAGTCAGTGTCTGTCTGCAAGTGGATATTTTCTTTTACCTTGATTCCGTTATTTTTTGCAAAGTGCGTGTAATATCTATCTCCTGAAATGATTGAGTAACTGCCTCCGGACAGGCACCAGTACAACCGCCACGTGACTTAACTTTTCTAGATCTCTTTGTTTTCACAACTTGAAAATCGTCCGTCATTATTTCTGTTATGGAAATACTAAATACTGAAACGGAGAGCGGTCAAATTAAATTTTGAAACTAAATAATATATTATTTTTTGTGATCGAAATAGTGTTATTTTTACTAATTCAACTGTAACTTTTTATTCAAATTAAATCAAAAGTAATAGTAAAGGTATGACAATTTTATTTATTGAAAATGGGATCAAACCAATTACTTTTGGAAAAGTTTGTATCCTTAACCGGCTTCCGTTTTTAAATTTAGTAGCATTTCCAACATGTCAGCCTCCATGGTTGACAGTGCGAGCGAAAACACTCTCCTGGAATACTAGTACCTTTTGCAAATACTTGACGTGACATCCAACGTTTTAGATGAAGCATACATAATTTTAACAAAAATGAATTCAACACTTCTAAAATGTACCAAGACGGGGAGAAAAATTGCAAATTTGCACCGTGTGAAAATTCACGTTGGAAGGGAGTGTCTAAATTCCGACAATCTCCGGACCGTAAAGTTGAGACGTGTTGTTGTGACGGGTTTAGGTTTGGTGACATGTCTTGGGGTTGGATCCAGACATGTGTGGGACAGAATCATTAAAGGACAGTGTGGAATCAGTACAATCAAGGGACCAGGTACATATGAAATATATGACATAACAAAATACTAGCTATGACAGTTGCTATCAAAAGGCACCTGTACCAGATAGAAGATACCTGTGTTTGCTATACTGTACAAAAACACCTCCAATCGTTACAAGCTGCAAGTGCAACAATTTACGACAGCAATAGACTTGTTATGTGCCGTCGACCTTGCTGAACTACTAGTGAGCTGGTCCCCAGGTTCTACATTATCGCTGGAAAAGCTAGCTTGCCAGTAATTAAGGCAATATTTCCCCTCATATTCCTTAGCTGTTACAGTATTCCCCCCTCCAAGAAGTCTCGTCCCAAGACTTTGCCTGGGGAATCCAACCGCTGCCACCAAATGTAACGTGCGTGTGGTCACCCATCCAATTACTGACCACATTAGATGTTGCTGAACTAGAGGGCGGTTCCTCAGCTTATAAGGCGCCAGTAAGGCAGTATTTTACTGTCAAATTCCTTGGCTGTTACAGACTATTACCAAGAATCTAACCCAAAACCTCCAAACAGCTAAATAATATGGTTATTGATCAAGTTTTTAATCACAAAATGTGATATCATTAGATCGATCTATTTTAAGATGTCATCAAATTAACGATATTATCAGATGTAAAAAAGGAATATCAATTTTATGGATATCACAAAATTAAATTTACCACCAGCTTATCGCCTTTATTTTAATGTCATATTAAGAACAAGTAATTTCCATTTTAGGCTATGAGAATGTTCCTTGCAAGGTAGCTGGTTTTGTTCCAAGGGGAAGTAATCCTGGAGATTTGCGTCTTGAAGACTACATGTCCGTCCAAGAGCAGCGTATCATGTCTCAGGGTTGTGCATATGCACTTGTTGCTACAGAAGAAGCACTGACAGATGCAGGCTGGGAGCCAAACACCGAGGAGGAGAAGAATTCCACTGGTACACTCATTATTCTATTTTTATTCTATATTAATTCAGGTCATTATGATAAAAAAAAAATCCTAGATCCAAATTACCATAAAATATGTTGACAGATCCCTTAATGTCAGCTTGATCATGTTGAATTATTGACATGAAAACTTCAAGATTGAAATGTGAAAAGAAACAAGTACAATACTTTTCTAAAATGAAGACTTCAAAAGGGCTTGTTCATAATAGTTTTCAATTCACTTTGATAACACTGTATAGTCAATGGAGATTTTAGAGGGGAAAATATCATGCATAATAACGATTTCCTGTGATGCTTTTAAGCCTGTAACTGAAGAAGCGTTAATTCAATACAATATTAATTAGTATATTGTCTCCCCTCAGAATTAAAGGGAGAAATGTTTTATCAGTGTAGGTGTTCTTTTTGTGATAACATTTTATCCTGGCAGTAACTATTAAACCGTAAAAAGATGTTTTGATTTAACTTAAAATATATCTGCATCATCCACAGTGAGTAGTGTGACAAACAGACATCACAGTCAGTTTGCAGTGCATTCTAATAAGGTCACTGTAACTGTCAACTAAAAATTAAAGGTAAAAATGGTGAAGTTTTCTGTTTGGGGTTTAAATTTTAAACTGCTCTAGATATATGGATAAAACTTGAAAGGAACCTGCATCACCCACACAGGAATCTGTAAAGTGGATTGGATTTAGTTCATTATGACCTTCACCTATAAATCATAGGTCAAATAAGTGCAAAGCAAATATGCCTATTGGCTAATTAGGAGAGTCAAACACAAATCTTGAGTCATGTTATGGAGTTGCCTGTTTTCTGGTAAAATTTTCTTGTTTGGAGCAATGGTTTCTCCAGTAATTTTTTGTGATATGTGATAATGAATTTCCGAGAAATATATACTGGCACCATCTATGTAATGAATTCTTATCAACTTGAACAGATGTATGTACTTTTTGAACTGGAACTTCAAGACCATATTTACAAGTTATTTTGCTTTGCGGTGTGTAATTTCGGGAATTAAGAATTTTGTTTAAATATTATTTTTGGTTTTTAAAGACTATTTTCATCATAAGGTCTCTCAGGTATTCCTAGGTTATACAACAAACCCACAGTTTAAGATAGTTTGATATCAGGTAGGGTTAAGAAATAATGAAGTTCTAACAGAGTGAATTAAAGTGAAATGTGTCTGATAACTAAGAGCATGTATTGTTCTGGATGAACTTGTAAAATACCTCAATTGATCTCGACCTTTGTTTTGTGTGTACAGGGGTCGCCATTGGGATGGGGATGGTAGGTATGGAGGAGACCTACAACACTGGCGTCACACTACGGGAGCGAGGCTATAGCAGGGTCAGTCCCTTCTTCATGCCCAAAATCCTCATCAACATGACAGCAGGCAATGTCAGTGTCAAGTACGGCCTCCAGGTAGGTAGTTTGGTCATGTGATCGTCAAATGTGGTTATCTGATGGCTAAATATGGTCATGCGATCGTTAAATGTGGTTATCTGCTGGCTAAATATGGTCGTGTGATCGTCAAATGTGGTTATCTGATGGCTAAATATGGTCATGTGATTGTTACACATAGTCATGTGATAGCTAAGTGTTGTAATAAGATAGATAGTGGTATTTGGATAGTCTAATGGTTTTAAAGTTAGTGTTTATAATTTTAAGAGGGCCCGTCTGGGCCCCATTTGAAATAATACTATTGCTGTGTGAGATAAGACTACATTGCTGTTCTACCTTACAGGGCCCAAACCATTCAGTGTCGACAGCCTGCACCACAGGACTACATGCTGTAGGTGATGCGTTCCGGTTTATACAGCGTGGGGATGCTGAAGTAATGGTGGCTGGCGGGGCAGAGGAGAGTCCAAACCCTCTCTCTGTAGCTGGCTTCTCAAGGATGAGGGCACTGAGCACAAAATTCAATGACAATCCTCACAAGGCCTCCAGGCCATTTGACAAAGACAGGGACGGGTTTGTCATGTCGGAAGGATCTGGCATCCTCGTGTTGGAGGAGCTTGAACATGCGTTGGGGAGAGGGGCGGACATTTATGCGGAGATTTTGGGTTATGGTTTGTCTGGTGATGCTAATCACATGACTGCTCCACAGGAAGACGGTTCCGGGGCGTACAGGTGCATGGTGGCTGCTCTGAAGGATGCACAAATTTCTAAAAGTGACATTGGATATATAAACGCTCACGCCACCTCCACACCTTTAGGGGATCTGGCAGAGAGCAGAGCCATCTGGCGGCTGTTCGGAGAGACAAATCCAGAGGTTTTGGTGTCATCTACCAAAGGTGCCACTGGACATCTGTTAGGTAGCGCAGGCTGTGTGGAAGCTATGTTTGCTGTGATGGCCTGTCATGGTGGGAAAATACCACCGACAGTTAATCTGTGTGAATCAGATACTGGGCTCCCATTAAAGTATGTTACGCAAAACTCTGTAGACTGGCCATCAGGGTCAGCAAGACGCTTAGCAGTCACAAACTCTTTTGGATTTGGAGGTACAAATGGCAGTCTGTGCATTGGAAGCTTTAATAAAAACTGACGTGTTAGAAATATGTTTTATTCATCTTAATTAATTCCATTTATCCAGAATTCTTTGCTTGAAGAAAGGCAGTCTGATTAAAATCATCTGTTACATGGCTTTGTTAACTTCATACTATACCAGTCCTGTTCAAAGTCCTGTAGTACAAAGTTAATGAAACAATGTAAGATTTTAATCAGAACGGTAGGAAGGTTCATGTAGCACAATCAGCAAAGAGTTTAAGTGTGACGTTTCGATGACTAAATTAGGACAGCTGCTAAATGTAAAACCACTGTCAGGGAATTTCCTACAACTTTTTTCCTGGGTCCGGGGTCCATGTTATTGGGAATTTTTCACACAGTAAAATGCAAAATTGCACAATTTTTTCCAGAAATTGACCATCACATTTCTTGCACCTTCCAATTTGGAATTTTATGACAACAAATTGGGAATTATAGCCAAATAATTTTCCACGGGGAAAGCGGTCATTATTTGTCCCAAAATGTTATTGTAGTAAAATGCCTGTCTGGTTTCTTACTGTAGGCCTAAATCGTGATATGGGTATATATACGTAACTTGTATGTATATTGTTAATCGTGATATGGATATATATACGTAACTTGTATGTATATTGTTAATCATGATATGGGTATACATACGTAATTTGTATGTATATTGTTAATCATGATATGGGTATATATACGTAACTTGTATGTATATTGTTAATCATGATATGGGTATATATACGTAACTTGTATGTATATTGTTAATCATGATATGGGTATATATACGTAACTTGTATGTATATTGTTAATCATGATATGGGTATATATACGTAACTTGTATGTATATTGTTAATCATGATATGGGTATATATACGTAACTTGTATGTATATTGTTAATCATGATATGGGTATATATACGTAACTTGTATGTATATTGTTAATCATGATATGGGTATATATACGTAACTTGTATGTATATTGTTAATCATGATATGGGTATATATACGTAACTTGTATGTATATTGTTAATCATGATATGGGTATATATACGTAACTTGTATGTATATTGTTAATCATGATATGGGTATATATACGTAACTTGTATGTATATTGTTAATCGTGATATGGGTATATATACGGAACTTGTATGTATATTGTTAATCGTGATATGGGTATATATACGTAACTTGTCTGGTTTCTTACTGTAGTCCTAAATCATGACATGGGTACATATAAGTAACTTGTATGTATATTGTTAATCATGATATGGGTATATATACGTAACTTGTATGTATATTTTTTATCGTGATATGGGTATAAATACGTAACTTGTATGTATATTGTTAATCGTGATATGGGTATATATACGTAACTTGTATGTATATTGTTAATCGTGATATGGGTATATATACATAACTTGTATGTATATTGTTAATCGTGATATGGGTATATATACGTAACTTGTATGTATATTGTTAATCATGATATGGGTATATATACGTAACTTGTATGTATATTGTTAATCTTAGCACACAAATGTGTTAATGTAATAATAATAAGAACATCTCACTTACAGGGAATTTCAGTCTAAAACGCTATATTTTGTTTTATTGCTACAAAATCTGTCAGCAGTATATGTTTTATGCCCAGTAGCATAGGGTGCTATTAGTGTGTCTGTTATTATGTCAATGTACCAGCCCACACTACCAGTGGTATAGTGGTGATTGACAATTATAATGATGTTTATATCTCTAGGTCTGTTATTATGTCAATGTACCAGCCCACACTACCAGTGGGATAGTGGTGAGTGACAATTATAATGATGTTTATATCTCTAGGTCTGTTAGTATGTCAATGTACCAGCCCACACTACCAGTGATATAGTGGTGAGTGACAATTATAATGATGTTTATATATTTAGGTCTGATATTGTTATTGGGTTATTTATGAATTGTTTGAGTGTATATATATATCTGTTAGGCAGTATGGATATCCATATCTGAAGTCTAGTTGAAACAGATGTCAGATGTAATTATAGATTCTTGTGAACAAACTTTTCATGTGATGAATAGTTGAATCTTTCATACGACTTTGTCCAAAATTTGTTCTCAAAAAATTCTGAATATGTGTCTACAAATTTTCTAAAAGATAACAAAAACTAATATTTCCTTTCACATTTATTTCCAAGAATACAACAAGTGACTTGGCATCAATATCAATATAAATAGTAAAATTAATTTGACAGCAAAACAAAGTCTATCACAGTCTTACGGTAACTATATATATATCACAGTTATAAAAATATACTCTGGAATTCCAGTCTTTGTAAGATTTAGCACTGACAGCATGTGATCCAAGGGAGTGTTATTACCAATAGATGAAAATCCTTAAAGACAATCGGAAACTTACAAATCTCACCTAACAATCCAAATTCTTTAACATTAATGCCATAAGTGACATTATTTATTTAGAAAAATGCATGTTATTCAGAGTTCTTCAAATAGCCATAATATAGAAATGTAAATTAAAACTGTCGTTCAGTGGTTTAATAATAAATATGCTATGATATTGGTTTCATTCCTACATTCCTGTGGAAAGTTGTAACTCTTGTCACTTCCTTGATTTAAGAATAAATAATTAAATCTTGTGTTAATTTTGGATTTTGTGTCGATTATGAAATTTGTGACACCAATGCAATAGCTAGAGGGGCCAAAATAGAATGTGTTTCTGAAATTAGGATGACAGGATGTTGTCAGACAACAGAACTTGTACATTATCATATCTAACATGGTGAAGTGTATACCAGTCCTATACAGTGACAGGCTTTTGGTTGTCAGCAAATACTCTAACAGTGTCCAGCGATTTAGCCATACTTTTCAGTAATAAACAGGATGGTTCTACGCTACAGAAGACTTCCTTGTGCAAATACATTAAAACATTGATATAACAGAGATCTACATCAAACAGGTTCATAAGGAAACTCAGGGAGAAAGTAGTTCCCTGTAGGAAAACAATGGTATAGAGTTAATCATAGTGTCATTTCTGGTCACGAGACACAACAAGGACATTACCGGTATAAGTAGTAATTCATAATCAGTGTGTTTGGTATAGGTCATCAGTGATTACTGGACGGAGATGATATATCTATATACCTATATGTACTGGTACCTGGAATGTACAAGGATAGGAAACTGTCAGTAGTCCTACTGCCTGATTGTCCAACATAAAAACATCTACAGTAGATCAGGCCAGACTAAACATACTGTATGCCGATACGTTAGCCCACATAAATTATTATAGATTTAATAAAAACTGACAGCGGAGTACAAACACACTACTAATATTGCAGCAATAGAAATAGGCCAATATCACAAAATATCATATTGTTTTACATTTAAATCTTGTTGAGTACGAAAGTTGATTACCAACAGTTTACTCAGGTGTTGATTAGAGCAGATACCTTATTCCTTATAAATGTTTTAACCTATTCAGTTAGATAATCACAAAGACTTCTACACCTGTCAGTGACTTTGGAATGTAAAACTCTGATGATGACGGTCCTTCTAGGAGTTTTCAGTTGAAAGGACTACACACAAAACCCTCCTCTTGATTTCAATTGCTCATCCATGTGACACTATTTACCTCTGAAGTTAATATTTCCGTGCTCCAACATTCTTATGACAGTGAGGTGACAACTACATACTAGTATACCTGGGATTAATGTTTCTGCTTGTAATATTTTTATCATGCATAGACTGTTACTTTGGTTTATCTTGTATCACATACATCTTTTGTGGGTTGATGATTGCTACTATTGTTTAAGTCCTGTGTGGTTGTAAATTAGCTTTCTCCAATTGTTCTACACTTGTGTGGGTTACACCTGCTACTATTGTTTAAGTCCTGTGTGGGTTGTAAATTAGCTTTCTCCAATTGTTCTACACTTGTGTGGGTTACACCTGCTACTATTGTTTAAGTCCTGTGTGGGTTGTAAATTAGCTTTCTCCAATTGTTCTACACTTGTGTGGGTTACACCTGCTACTATTGTTTAAGTCCTGTGTGGGTTGTAAATTAGCTTTCTCCAATTGTTCTACACTTGTGTGGGTTACACCTGCTACTATTGTTTAAGTCCTGTGTGGGTTGTAAATTAGCTTTCTCCAATTGTTCTACACTTGTGTGGGTTACACCTGCTACTATTGTTTAAGTCCTGTGTGGGTTGTAAATTAGCTTTCTCCAATTGTTCTAGACTTGTGTGGGCTACACCTGCTGCTGTTGTTCAAGGGCCCTGTTTTTCTCTTCCTCCTCCTTAAGTGAGTCGTGTGCAGTGCGCCAGTGGTGGAGTTTGACCGAGATCTCGACCTCGAGTGGTGGGGGCGGGGCTGGTTCGTCACCTTCCTCGTCCACAGTAGCGGGAGCAGCTTTGCCTCCCTTTCCTCCCTTGTCACCTTTCTTGTCATCTTTGCCGCCCTTGACTGCACTATTTTTCCTGCTCTCTGTAACAAAAACATCCTCATAAACTTAGTACAAACCTATTTGACACAGTAAAAGTTGTGGGTTGTGTACAAATTGTGTTAAACTGTCTGTAACAAGGACTTTGATTGGCTAAAGTGTGCACCATGATTTTCAAATGCCAGCAGTACTATACATAAATCTAGCAAAAATGGACTATTTTTGGATAATCCTAATTGGTTTTGAAATCACAGCATTCAGCGTTTTACTTTGAAATTGACAAAATTTGAAACTGTATGGATTGGAGCTTGAAAATTCAAAGGGGATTTTAGTAATTTACTTTTCAATTCTATGGTTGCTCTAGAAAACACTGGAAAATTCTAGCTTCTGTTCTTACATGTAGAATACATTGATTGTACCCATCCCCTAATGTTGTAGGGCTTTTGTTGTGTGTTATAGTTAATGGACTTCACTAAAAACCTGTTTTGCTGTGGTATTTATCACAATCACATGGTATGATCAAGAATTTAACGTTTCTCAGAATTACCAGGTCAGGTGCTATTACTGCACACTGGGACTTCGTGTTGTAAATTTTGCATTATGACTCTAATCTCATCTGAGACTATGTTTACCTTTTCCTCCTTTTCCTTCGTCTTTCTTTTTGGGTGATCCTGGTTTCTTCTTGTCCTCCTTTTTACCTGTCTGTGATTAGAACGACTTCATTAGTTAACGGGAGCACTGTGGTACTCGTTAATACTACAGCCAACTACTACACAGATGTACAGAGTGTGTATGACAGGTCGTATCAAACTAGGATTGAATGAGGCAACAGACAGATGGTTTGATGAAATAGTACACACATGTACATTGATAGCATATATGCCATTTAATAATAAAACATATATAAAAGCAATACATTGTTTTAATATGCATGAACAATCATGTATTTATGAATATTACAATGTCATATATGTTTTGTCTTGTCTTGTAAAAAAAAAATGCAAAAAACCAACAAAAACCCCCACATCATTTATGTTATTTCTGAAATGTAGAGGCATGTTCACTCAGACAACCAATTAATTCAACCTCCTGGGCAGCATCTCTTGTAAAATGTAAAGCTGTTTCCTTTTGAAGGAACTATTGATATTTCCTTTGTTTGAGCTGTGAATGAGCGTAACGGAAATCTTACAGACCAATATATGTTATAATCTATATGTTAACACCTACATATCACTGTGTTATACTTAGTGTGGTAGTACTGAGCCTTAATGAGGCTAGAAGTTTGGTGTGTTATACTTAGTGTGGTAGTACTGAGCCTTAATGGCGCTAGAAGTTTGGTGTGTTATACTTAGTGTGGTAGTACTGAGCCTTAATAAGGCTATAAGTTTGGTGTGTTATACTTAGTGTGGCAGCACTGAGCCTTAATGAGGCTAGAAGTTTGGTGTGTTATACTTAGTGTGGCAGTACTCAGCCTTAATGAGGCTAGAAGTTTGGTGTGTTATACTTAGTGTGGTAGTACTGGTTATACTTAGTGTGGTAGTACTGAGCCTTAATAAGGCTAGAAGTTTGGTGTGTTATACTTAGTGTGGTAGTACTCAGCCTTAATGAGGCTAGAAGTTTGGTAAGTTTTAGCTGCTGATTACATGTTAAATAGCATTTTACGTAACTATAAATCATCGAGATTAAATGGACATTTGTTTTGTCATGCAACAGATGTCTACATGCAGACAACATTATATCTTAGTGCTGTAATGATGTGATTCACAGACGATAACACTTTTCTTTAAAATATGCTATCAACATAGTACTCTGAAATCTCATAATGAATATCAAAACCCAATTGATCATATTATGGCTTCTTATTTTGTGTTATTCATTGCATGCCAGCAGACAGTTAAAAGAATAATTGAAAGGACGCTTCTCGTTGATTTATTGCCTACATGTTCATTCAAGGTAAAACCAAGCTGAGAACCCTTGGATTTGAAAGTAGATCTGTCAAATGTTATTGTATATTTCTTGTTTTACCTTTGTTTCATTTAAAGAGACTAGAGGATGCTTGAATGGTGATTTTCCATCTATTTATTCACAGATTAGTTCACTGGAATATTTTCAAGCGTTCTTTTTTTTATTCTATATACAATATAATGGATGATGTAATTCCAATACTGCATGGAAAATTTCCATGTAATTTCCCGGAACAGTTCCACAAAATTCCACTTAATCACTGGAAAACTAGAGCCTGGTTGTGAATTTTAATTTCAACAGCACTTATTATGTAGTCCATTGAAAAAACTGACGTGTTTTGCATAAGCCATGGTAACATTCTTGTGTAGATAGTGCTATTGATGTATTCTCATCGTCACATTTATAATCCTATTAACTATGGCAAGCCGAGACAACCTGTGGAAAGTTAACAATCCAGACAGGGGAGAAATGATAGCAACAGATATATATTTCTCATCAAAATCACACAGGATATAAACTGTGGCTGGTCGTCACCAACAGGATATAAACTGTGGCTGGTCGGCCCCAACAGGATATAAACTGTGGCTGGTCGGCCCCAACAGGATAATACAGTCACACAATAGATATACAAACACTTAAATACAAAGGCCAGTATAATACTGACGTAAGCAAAGATGTGTCCGGCAAAAACTGGAATACAATAGGTGACAAGTCGGTAACAATCCTACTTTGTATACGTGTGTATATACTCGGTGTGTATAGAGTACGTTTGTCATGCAGTATCACACAGTAGACTGGACAAAGCTTGTTGGTAGTGGGTTAGCCGCGTTTGTTTGATGTATTACAGGGTATACTGTCTATTGATGTTACGTAATATACAGGTCATACTTCCTCGTCAGTGACGGATTCGTCTGACTCTGTCTCCTCCTCATCTTCCTTCAAAGGCAAAAGTCATGTAACATAGTATAGAATCATGATATCTTGTCTTACAGTCTCAACAAACATTAAATGTTCAGATAAAAGTTAAGTTCTTCAGTAAATATAATTATAAATTGCAGAACATTTCTAGAACCTTCTGACCACTTACCAGGGGTACATTTATGGATTTTCCGGGGAGGCTATCAGGTTACCTACCACTTCTGGGAGTAAAATAAATTGGGTACTTACTAATGCTGCGTAAAAATCATGGATGACTACCTCCGTTACCTAGTCAACACTAAAGGAAGCCTACAGTTTTTATCAAGTGAAAAATTAATGGACAACCTATACTTTTTTGGAGTCAAAATTTATGACCATATGAATCTGATACAGTACTTGTTTCTTGTAATTCAGCAGTGAGTATACCCTATGGCTGAATGAGAAGACACCTGAGACCAAAAACTTCACCGATTATGGAATATATGTACCTATTTTTTTAAATCTGTTTTTGATAGTTGAGACATTGTCAACCACATTCTAACGAGGTACCTACCTTTTTTGAGTCAGTGTCTACACTTTTGACCGTGGAGGCGGGCTCGATGCCGCCCTTTGTAAAGACAGCCGTGAACTCGTACTCTCCCTCGAGGAACTCCTCCAGCGGCTGATGCCACGTGGCCAGCGTGGAATACGTGGGTGGCATTCGCTTCATCTCCACCTCCGGCTCCTTCTTCCCTTTCTTCTTCTTGTCATCCTTACCTCCACCCTGTCATCAAAACTTACAAATTAATACAAACATCGGCTGACAAACTCTACAGCATCAAACTAACAACTTCATTAACATAGGCTGATAATCTGTATAACACAAACCTAGGCTGACAAACTCTACAGCATCAAACTATACAAACATACGCTGACAAACTCTACAGCATCAAACTATACAAACCTAGGCTGACAAACTCTACAGCATCAAACTAACAACTTCATTAACATAGACTGATAATCTGTATAAAATAAAATATACAACTTAAATAACATAAGCTAATAAGCTATATGATATTACATATGCTGACTGTATGATATAAAAAAAATGCCATTTCAAGTGTTTTAACTACATTTCACATAAAGACCCCATGCACGCTTATCCTGGTCAACAAGAGTGATTTATATATGTTAATAAAATTTGTTAAATAATTGTTTTAAAATAAATAAAGTTAATTTATTGTGTTTCACTATACAAAGTTTTAAAATGAAACAATTAGGCTGCAATAAAATATCTGATGAATTTGTGAACAAAGTTTGCTGTACTAACATTGCTGTTAGTTTAATTATTTTTTTTACGATTATTGTTACTCTAATATTTAAACATTTTGGTTGCAGTCTTATTTCTTTGATTGTAATTACATGAACTGTCACAAAGTTAACCAAATTTTACTCTCAAATAGACACAACTTTCTACCTGATATTACAAAACATATTTCTACAATTTCGTGAAATATCCTTTTACAATTCAGTATTGTCTCCCTTGATTAATGAAATAGAAAACAGTCAGCGACTAGAATACATAGACACGATATATATATATAATCACATCATTTGTAGCCTAGAACTAGCCACAGACTAATAACTCTACCTTCCCCTGATAAAATATGTAGAAATAAATTAATTTGCAATCTCTAGTAATATCCAGTATATATGTATGGGTATAAGAAATGTTAGTTATCAATTAATGAAAATATAAGGTAAATAATACCAATCACCACATTAAGGATTCACCAGTAAACATCATGTCATCACTTCTAACTATATAGGTATTAAGTCAGGGAACTTATAAGTGCATCTATATTGATATTAGGTCAGGAACTCATCAATCAATATGATTTGGGGGAATGAAATAACAGATTTACTACAGAAATATCCAGATTTTAAATGATCACAGTGCTTTTATTTCATATACATGTACTGATATACTCAATAAACAAAATCTCCTACATGTACAACTAATGGTGTGTTAGCGTAGTGTCACATGATCAGAAGAATCTTGTGTATATGTATGATGTAGCTTGTGGCAAATATGGAAGTTTTCAGAATGACGAAGGAAAGATCTACGGTTTGGAATCTACTATTTCCTTGATCAAATATTAGCTAGCAATCAGAAGTGTCACTGGCAGCACTCATCTGATACAGTAGTTATGAGATTCTAAACTTGCAGTACTCTGTAGTTTTCTCAGCCTCTGAATGACCTATGACCCTTGTCTTACTTTAGCTTTGTCATCCTTTTTGTCCTTTTTCTTGTCTTTTTCCTTCTCAGCAGGCTTTTTTTGAGTGGGTGTGCTACACGGTGAACCTTCACTCGGGAAACACTGGACCTGTAAAGGCAGAATGTTAGCTAGCTCACCCCACATCACACCTCAGCCTCCCTACCCTGATCAGGACTCTTATCAATCAAATCCTGCTCTTTATACTATTTCATTTCATTTTAAAAGCTTTGTATACTCTAAAGACTTCCTAAAAACCAAACACTGTAGTAATTTGATAATGTTCAATATCCTTTTTCCCATTTTTTTTTTTTTTTTACCCATTTTGAAAAAAAACAAATTCATTTTGAAATTTGTTGTTGTCTTAGTTAAGTGTATTTTAATATGTAATACTGATGCATGTTTTCAACGGATACAAATCTCAGTAATAACTATCTGATCAGGGTAAGACATAGTAGGGATTTATAAATGTAGTAATAAAATCACAAAATCCCAAATCATCAGCCAATGTCCAGTATCTGAACACGTTTAAACTTCTGAAGAGAAAACAAAAAGTTAAGGAAGAAAAACCAACAAACTTCTACGTACCATCTTTAGTGTAAATGGGAGAGAAATTGCAATTACAGGAAATTTTTAAAGAAAGTCACCCACTGTCTATCTTACCATTTTGGAATATTATGCCTTAACCCTTTCACCACTGTAGACCATAATTTTGTTAATGGACTCATCCAGATCAAAGCATGGAAGAGTTTTGAATATGTTTGAAAATAAGACTGACAGTGAAATCATAGTAAACAAATATTGCACAGACATTGAATCCAAAATAATTGCAATATTCTGAATTTCACACATTTCAAACCATTTACAAAATAATATTCCTTTTACTTAGGAACATCAGGGCAACAGAGGTTTGTTGGTGCTCTTGATATCGGTTAGAGCTACAAAACATTTCTAATAAATAACCCAGGCCACTGAATGATTAATACAAGCAAAAGAAGCAACATCTAAATATGGAAAACATCACATTTAAGATTTAAATTGTGCTGATTGTAATACATGTGTCAACCCAAGGCCACCACAGGAAACCTTCACACCAGCGTCACTTCTACACCAAAATAAAGCCAGCTTTCCACAGAAACAGAACCTTTTTAGCGGACGCTGCTGACTTCTGTGACTGTGACACGGGGGTACCCGCGGGGGATGGTGGGAAAAGTTCCGTCTGTAAGGGACAACACATAAACTCTCGGTTCACCAAATGTAAATAGTATACCTACAAAACAGGCTGACAAGACAGACCGGTGGGTCAGAGACAAACTGTATTAAAGGTCTAGGGACACACTATAGATTATTCTTTTTAGTATGAACCCCTGGAATGATTAAAACACAGTTATATTGATGTAAATGACACTCGGGGAACCAGACAGCTGCTATATGGTTGATACCATATAGCAGTACTAAAGGGGTTAAAGGTCGAGGAACATGTTACACACTTATCAGGCATAGAATCTGAAATAAACTTACAATGTTAGTAGCTGAGAACTGTTATCATACTAATACTAACAATGATCTAGTTCCTTATATCCTGTGATCTAGAGTGCTAGTCATACAGGATCAAATCATGATCTAGTTCCTTATATCCTGTGATCTAGAGTGCTAGTCATACAGGATCAAATCATGATCTAGTTCCTTATATCCTGTGATCTAGAGTGCTAGTCATACAGGATCAAATCATGATCTAGTTCTTTATATCCTGTGATCTAGAGTGCTAGTCATACAGGATCAAATCATGATCTTGTTCTTTATATCCTGTGATCTAGAGTGCTAGTCATACAGGATCAAATCATGATCTTGTTCTTTATATCCTGTGATCTAGAGTGCTAGTCATACAGGATCAAATCATGATCTTGTTCTTTATATCCTGTGATCTAGAGTGCTAGTCATACAGGATCAAATCATGATCTTGTTCTTTATATCCTGTGATCTAGAGTGCTAGTCATACAGGATCAAATCATGATCTTGTTCTTTATATCCTGTGATCTAGAGTGCTAGTCATACAGGATCAAATCATGATCTTGTTCTTTATATCCTGTGATCTAGAGTGCTAGTCATACAGGATCAAATCATGATCTTGTTCTTTATATCCTGTGATCTAGAGTGCTAGTCATACAGGATCAAATCATGATCTTGTTCTTTATATCCTGTGATCTAGAGTGCTAGTCATACAGGATCAAATCATGATCTTGTTCTTTATATCCTGTGATCTAGAGTGCTAGTCATACAGGATCAAATCATGATCTTGTTCTTTATATCCTGTGATCTAGAGTGCTAGTCATACAGGGTCAAATCATGATCTTGTTCTTTATATCCTGTGATCTGGAGTGCTAATCATACAGGATCAAATCATGATCTAGTTCTTTATATCCTGTGATCTAGAGTGCTAATCATACAGGATCAAATCATCATATTGTTAACATGTATGGAGAAAAATCTTAGCAATGGTCTTGTAATTAGCAGAATGTGAAGTAAACTGCATAGTTTGAAAAATTTTGAATTGTAAGAGACAAATATTTGAGACTTATATAAGGCGACTACACAGAAAAGCTAACTAAACACACTTTGGTTTTTAACATGCATACACTATAATGAGAGTTACAATACACATATTTCATCATAACAAAGGTACAGATATCTATTATACATTATCATGAAGGTAAATAACTTTGAAACACTCCGGTGGACTAGCTTTAATACGACCAACAGACACTAACACACTAGCCTCTTGTTTATCATCAACAAATATGTAGATTTATTTTCAAATGCGTCATCTAGCTGCAAACATTTGTAGTATATATTACTTAAATTTTAATTTTCAATGAACACAGTAAGGTATTGCTAGCACTTAATACCCCACCTCCAGACAGACATTGGTGTCAAACATCAACAAAGGGCTGTAACTCTGTATATAGTGCAGAACGAGACCCAAACATCAACAAGGGCTGTAACTCTGTATATAGTGCAGAACGAGACCCAATTTCAATATGCCATACTCTTAACATCCTACGAAATCCTTGCACACAAAATTTGGCAATTGTAGGTGATGGAGAACTGTACACAGCTTTGAGTTTGTCAGGAAATTGATATTTGAGCGGTGTAGAATTTACAGAAAAGGGGTCGGTCGATGATATTTTAAAACAGCGAAACATTTAAACTTCATGTTGTGCTCTCAATCCTATTGTAATTCTGTGGTATTTTGCTGGGTTGAAAAAAAAATGCTGACATTTTGAAATGCTGATATCCACATTTTAATAGTAAACCCTGATTATAATGTCACTGGAATTCTATTTCAATTGACTGTTCCTTTTAATTCGTAAGAGCATCTGTCGATTAAGCAAACTATATGGTTTTCTTTGTATTACTCTTTTAATTTACTCCTGAACTAGATCTTACAATAGTTTTTAAAAATGTAAATTTTCACTACAATGTTGAGTTCACAGTTGAACCCGTCAACGAAAAGAGCATGGAAATAACACTGCCACAAAAATTACCTGGCATACAGTCAACACAATATGACCCAGACAAAGTGACACAGATTGATGGACTGACTGACCTACTGAGTACAAACCTAAAGTCTCCTCCAATACTATCAGCAAATAGAAAATACTTTGCAAGGGCATAATCTGTCTGATTTTCAAATCAATTTCTTCAAGTATCTTTGGAAATATTCTAGGAGTAGTTTGTGAGAACTTATCTTAGTTCACAACTAATGGAAGAACAAGCTAGAGAAGAGGTAAGAAATACAATCTGATTTAAATACAGATGCTAATGTATCACCTCAGTGTTGCGTATAATGAAGATAGGGAAACATTGGTCACAAAAAATACAAAATAACACATGCATCAGGATAAGGCCATCAAAACTTAACGACTAAGATGAAAAATTCAGTCAAGGGATATGAAATAATAGGTGCGTTTAACTTCATTTTCTCTCTCTGAAAAACAGTTTTACCTATGAAAAACACCTAAAGTCAAAAACTAATGTCAAATCAAAAAAACAAAAGATACACTACTCCTATAATCAAACCCAATCAGAGACCCAGGAGCCTGAAAAACTCACTTGGGGTTTTCTTATTTTTTTTAATTCAGATCAATGACATACCAAAATTAAAAAAAGTCAGTAATAGGAATGTAACTCAATATGGAACACTTAAAAAATTTGTGAACAGGACCTAACAAGATGGATTTCAAACAAGCTATTTTAAAAAGACAGCTTTTTTTTATTTCAATATGCTCCTTTTCCCACTGGGCCCTGTCCTGCTACCATGAAGCCATCATCCTCTTTTATATAAACTCTGGGCACAGGGTTGCTTCAAATCAAATTCAGTTGAAATTCATTCAATCTCAATCATACTTTAGGAGTAGGCTTTGACAGAAATCTTTGACAGAGTGACGACGGACACAACACCACAGCATAAGCTAACTTCCCCAGTAAGCTTACATGACTGTTGAAAATAAATGTGTTTCTACTAAAAGTCTAATGGTGAGCCACAGGATATACGATCTATGTGAGCAACACAGACAAACAAGGACCTTTCTGCTGCCAGAGGATTGGAGAGAGGGTCGTGACCCCTTGGAGTTCCGGGAACTCCTTGACCCTCGGGATGATGCTGACCCGGGGAAATTTGGGGACAAAACCGGCTCGAATAGAGTCTGGAAGGTAATGTAGTGGTTAACACAGAACAATTCAAACATCATTGAACTGTTATCGTAACAACGCTGACGGATGTGACAGCATTTACATTTACAAGGTGACAACACAAAGTTTACAGGGTGTCAACACAACACTTACAGGCATGACAATATGTACAGGTGTGACAACACAACATTTTACTGGTACAAAATCTGTCCTAACTTTTCACAGGCATTAATGTCTGACCCGAAATCAAACACAGTAAAAGTGTTAATATTTAAACAGTTTTTGCCCTTGAACAGTCTTATTACATGTATACAGTATTGGGAATTCAATAATTAGAAAACTGATTTTAAAAGGACAGAGGATACAAATTTAGAAGGTCAAAAATATCACAATAATGTTAAGTGACGTGCACTAACTAAACTTATGACTGATATCATTAGATTATGAAGAAGTCAATTATCTCTTTTGTTTAAATGTGTTTTAAAGCTTGTACCTCAATTCTTTGACTGAGGAGCTATACCTACCATTTCCTCTATAACAGAGAACTGCATTCCCTGCTTGAAAAAGTTGCGAAGGTCAAGAAGTTCGTCCCGGACGACTAGTTGTGATGTGTCGAGCTCCACCTCCTCTGCCCAGATGGCTCCCCCTAGCTTGATGGCTTCCAGTTGAAGCTCCTGTTTCTCCTCTTCCTCTATCTGTTCCTGCTCGTCTACCTTTGGTGTGGATGACTTGGTGGGTGATAGTTGTTCCTGCTCCGTAGCTTCAAAGTCAAAATCATACAACAATAAATTCCAGGTACATATTGTTCCTTTACTGGTACTTCATCTGCCAATCAACACAAATCATGTGTCTATCAAACATTATAATAGGATGGAATACCTGTGACCTTTAACCTTCTGACCCCATGTGTGACCTATAGTCTGTTGACCCCTGTGTGACATATACTATACTGAACCCTATGTGACCTATAGTCTGTTGACCCCTGTGTGACATATAATATACTGAACGCTATGTGACCTATAGTCTGTTGACCCCTGTGCGACATATAATATACTGAACCGTATGTGACCTATGGTCTGTTGACCCCTGTGTGATCTATAGTCTGTTGACCCCTGTGTGACATATAATATACTGAACCCTATGTGATCAATGACCTACAGACCCCTGTGATATATAACCTTCTGACCCCTGTGTGATCTATAACCTTCTGACCCCTGTGGGACCTATAGTCTATTGACCCCTGTGTCACATGTAATATACTGAACCTTATGTGATCAATGACCTACAGACCCATGTGATCAAACCTACTGACCCTTGTGAGATCTATAACCTTCTGACCCCTGTGTGATCTATAGCCTTCTGACCCCTGTGTGACCTATAGTCTATTGACTCCTGTGCGACCTATAACCTTCTGACCCCTGTGTAAACTATAGCCTATTGATCCCTGTGTGTCAAACAACATAGAGATCACTGTTGACATATAACCTGACCCCTGCGTGACCTATAACACATGAGCCCTGTATTACATTTACTGACCCCTGTGTGACCTATTACATTCTGAACCATGTGTGACCTATGACCTACAGGCCCATGCAATCTAGCCTACTGACCCCTTTGTGACTTATAACTTACTAACCCCTACATGACCTTTAACCTGACTCCTGAGTAACATATAACATACTGACCCCTTTGTGACCTATAACCTACTGACCCCTACATGACCTTTGACCTGACCCTGGTGTAACATATTACATACTGACCCCTTTGTGACCTATAACCTACCGACCCCTACATGACCTTTGACCTGACCCATGTGTAACATACTACGTACTGACCCCTTTGTGACCTATAACGTACTGACCCCTACATGACCTTTAACCTTACCTGTCTCTGTGGGTTCCCTTGCTATGACAACTTCAGGTTCAGCAGTGAAGTTGACATTTTTAGCCGCCTCTGCGGGTGTTGAGTTTTCCTCGGGATCGTCGGACATCATGGCACTGATCTGTAAACAATGGTTGATGAATTGTGTATGTGGTACACGCCGGACATAACACAGATATCTTGTCTCTATATATCACTTCCAACATCATTACCACCATCACTAACACTTACATTCAGTAAAGAAATTATCTCACATCTCATATAGTACTACAGAGTATGTATACATGTACCTAATTTTACACACATTTTAATTAAATTTAATTGTGAATTTAATTTTACATAAACGTTATGAAATTTAGTATCAGCTTTATTCCCTTTTGTCAGAATATGTTTTACATATTAGATTTAGGATATTTGATGAATGAATTGAAAACCACACAAACCTCTAATGGCAATGTGACACCAGGAAAAGCGACAAGATTATTGGTGAATGTAACATCTAAGGTAAACAAGAGGCCCAAGGGCCTTAGCGGTCACCTGAGTTATATCATAGGTACTCATAGCTTTATTTCATTGTTTAGTGTTCCGTTTGGGGCCCCGCCCTAGTCCCTGGGGATGGGGCAGGAATTCCAATTTTACAATGTAATACCCTCATGCCCCAAAGATGATTCTGACCAAGTTTGAATAACTTTCTGCTGAAAATGGATAAAATATACTCAAAAGTGTTGTTTCCCTATATAAACTATAGTAAACTTTACCCCCTCCCCAAGGGAGAACGGATAGCTCGGGGGTCCTGGAATTTGAAATTTAAATAAAGCCCCTGATGATCTTTCCATCCATGCAGAGAAATTGGCTGTAGTACCTCCGAGTCTGCGGAGAAGAAGATTTTTGAAATATTGGTTAATTTTCCCTTTGGGGCTCTGCCCTGGCCCCTAGGGTTGGGCTAGGAATCCCAATTTTACAATTTAAAAACAACTCCCTCCAAGGAAAATTCTCACCAAGTAAGAATACTTTCCTATAGAAAATTGTCAAAATATACCCCAAAGTGTTATTTCCCTATATAAACTATAGTAAACTTTACCCCCTCCCCAAGGGAGAACGGATAGCTCGGGGGTCCTTGAATTTAAAATTTGAATAAAGCCCCTGATGATCTTTCAAACCATGCAGAGAAAATGACCGTAGTACCTCTGAGTCTGGAGAAGAAGATATTTTAAACATTGGTTAATTTTCCCTTTGGGGCCCTGCCCTGGCACCTAGGGTTGGGATAGGAATCCCAATTTTACATTTTAAAACCATCTTTCTCCAAGGATAGTTCTCACCAAGTAAAAATATTTTCCCACAGAAAATTGTCAAAATATACCCAAAAGTGTTGATTCCCTATATAAACTATAGTAAACTTTACCTCCTCCCCAAGGTAGAACGGATAGCTTGGGGGTCCTGAAATTTACAATTTAAATAAGGCCCCTGATGATCTTTCCATCTATGCAGAGAAAATGACTGTAGTACCTCTGAGTCTGGAGAAGAAGATTTTTGAAATATTGGTTTATTTTCCCTTTGGGGCCCCACCCTGGTCCCAGGGGTTGGGGTAGGAATCTCAATTTTACTCTTCTACCAAGGATGATTCTGACCAAGTTTGAAAAAATTCCATCTAACGGTTCTTGAGAAGAAGTTGAAAATGTGAAAAAGTTTACGCACGACGAACGATGGACTACGACGGACGAAAAGTGATAGGAATAGGTCACTTGAGCAAAGCTCAGGTGATCTAAAAATAGGTAGAGGAATATAGAGCCAAAGTAGCTAAGGTGTCTTTGTGTAATATCTAAACAACATCTACACGGTAATGTGTACCTAAATATCTACACAACATCTACATTGTAATGTGTACCTAAATATCTACACAGCATCTACACTGTTATGTGTACCTACATATCTACACAACATCTACATTGTAATGTGTACCCGAATATCTAAACAACATCTACACTGTAATATGTACCTAAATATCTAAACATCTACACTGTAATGTGTACCTAAATATCTAAACAACATCTACACTGTAATGTGTACCTAAATATCTACACAACATCTACACTGTAATGTGTACCTAAATATCTACACAACATCTACACTGTAATGTGTACCTAAATATCTACACAACATCTACACTGTAATGTGTACCTAAATATCTACACAACATCTACACTGTAATGTGTACCTAAATATCTACACAACATCTACACTGTAATGTGTACCTAAATATCTACACAACATCTACACTGTAATGTGTACCTAAATATCTACACAACATCTACACTGTAATGTGTACCTAAATATCTACACAACATCTACACTGTAATGTGTACCTAAATATCTACACAACATCTACACTGTAATGTGTACCTAAATATCTACACAACATCTACACTGTAATGTGTACCTAAATATCTACACAACATCTACACTGTAATGTGTACCTAAATATCTACACAACATCTACACTGTAATGTGTACCTAAATATCTACACAACATCTACACTGTAATGTGTACCTAAATATCTACACAACATCTACACTGTAATGTGTACCTAAATATCTACACAACATCTACACTGTAATGTGTACCTAAATATCTACACAACATCTACACTGTAATGTGTACCTAAATATCTACACAACATCTACACTGTAATGTGTACCTAAATATCTACACAACATCTACACTGTAATGTGTACCTAAATATCTACACAACATCTACACTGTAATGTGTACCTAAATATCTACACAACATCTACACTGTAATGTGTACCTAAATATCTACACAACATCTACACTGTAATGTGTACCTAAATATCTACACAACATCTACACTGTAATGTGTACCTAAATATCTACACAACATCTACACTGTAATGTGTACCTAAATATCTACACAACATCTACACTGTAATGTGTACCTAAATATCTACACAACATCTACACTGTAATGTGTACCTAAATATCTACACAACATCTACACTGTAATGTGTACCTAAATATCTACACAACATCTACACTGTAATGTGTACCTAAATATCTACACAACATCTACACTGTAATGTGTACCTAAATATCTACACAACATCTACACTGTAATGTGTACCTAAATATCTACACAACATCTACACTGTAATGTGTACCTAAATATCTACACAACATCTACACTGTAATGTGTACCTAAATATCTACACAACATCTACACTGTAATGTGTACCTAAATATCTACACAACATCTACACTGTAATGTGTACCTAAATATCTACACAACATCTACACTGTAATGTGTACCTAAATATCTACACAACATCTACACTGTAATGTGTACCTAAATATCTACACAACATCTACACTGTAATGTGTACCTAAATATCTACACAACATCTACACTGTAATGTGTACCTAAATATCTACACAACATCTACACTGTAATGTGTACCTAAATATCTACACAACATCTACACTGTAATGTGTACCTAAATATCTACACAACATCTACACTGTAATGTGTACCTAAATATCTACACAACATCTACACTGTAATGTGTACCTAAATATCTACACAACATCTACACTGTAATGTGTACCTAAATATCTACACAACATCTACACTGTAATGTGTACCTAAATATCTACACAACATCTACACTGTAATGTGTACCTAAATATCTACACAACATCTACACTGTAATGTGTACCTAAATATCTACACAACATCTACACTGTAATGTGTACCTAAATATCTACACAACATCTACACTGTAATGTGTACCTAAATATCTACACAACATCTACACTGTAATGTGTACCTAAATATCTACACAACATCTACACTGTAATGTGTACCTAAATATCTACACAACATCTACACTGTAATGTGTACCTAAATATCTACACAACATCTACACTGTAATGTGTACCTAAATATCTACACAACATCTACACTGTAATGTGTACCTAAATATCTACACAACATCTACACTGTAATGTGTACCTAAATATCTACACAACATCTACACTGTAATGTGTACCTAAATATCTACACAACATCTACACTGTAATGTGTACCTAAATATCTACACAACATCTACACTGTAATGTGTACCTAAATATCTACACAACATCTACACTGTAATGTGTACCTAAATATCTACACAACATCTACACTGTAATGTGTACCTAAATATCTACACAACATCTACACTGTAATGTGTACCTAAATATCTACACAACATCTACACTGTAATGTGTACCTAAATATCTACACAACATCTACACTGTAATGTGTACCTAAATATCTACACAACATCTACACTGTAATGTGTACCTAAATATCTACACAACATCTACACTGTAATGTGTACCTAAATATCTACACAACATCTACACTGTAATGTGTACCTAAATATCTACACAACATCTACACTGTAATGTGTACCTAAATATCTACACAACATCTACACTGTAATGTGTACCTAAATATCTACACAACATCTACATTGTAATGTGTACCTACATGTAGATATAAACAACTAACAAGAGGTCAATAAAGAAGTAACAGAAAACCTACAATAGGGCTGATGCTTTGAGCAAATAAACAGTTGCCCAAATTTTGTTGAGCCAACAAAAGCAATTTTTGTTAGGTATTTCACTAGCTCTGTTCGTTTTCTCTTATTGAACTCCCAAAGGACTCTTTAATTATGAATACTACTCAATACTATTATGAATAGATTAATTTGTATTTTTAATAATCATGTTTGCAATAGTAACAAGTTCAAACTTTCATAAATCAGAAAAAAATGAATACAGTTAACCTTCGGTCAGTTCGAATCGGCGGATAGTTTGAACACATATTTTTTTCAATAAAAACAATAATTTTCTAGCTAGTGATAGTTCAAACTCTGATTGACCCTATTTCGGATAGTTTTGATGAAAAAATAAGAGGATATGTAGCCTTGATATATAGATATTGGATTCTGTGTATCATAAGAGAATATGTAGCCTTGATATATAGATATTGGATTCTGTGTATCATAAGATATTTATGTAGCCTTGACATATAGATATTGGATTCTGTGTATCATAAGAGAATATGTAGCCTTGATATATAGATATTGGATTCTGTGTATCATAAGAGAATATGTAGCCTTGATATATAGATATTGGATTCTGTGTATCATAAGAGAATATTTGTAGCCTTGATATATAGATATTGGATTCTGTGAAATACTAATGCAACAGCATTGTGCTGGAACTTATTTAGAAAGTGAGATAATTGAAAGTACAAAAAAAAAAACATAACTAGGAACACGTGCAGCAAGATTTAAAATAGTGAGGTCAGATGATTACCAATCCTTTCACCTGAAAATAAACCCACAGAAACTCAGTGTTGTGAGGAGTATGTGTGTAACAACTCAGTGTTGTGAGGAGGATGTGTGTTACAACTCAGTGTGACGACAGAAACACACAACCGGACTGAGTAAACATTAATACAGTACAACAGGTATTACAGTACCCCAGGTATTACAGTACCCCAGGTATTACAGTACCCCAGGTATTACAGGTATTACAGTACCACAGGTATTACAGGTATTACATTACCCCAGGTATTACAGTACCCCAGGTATTACAGGTATTACAGGTATTACAGTACCCCAGGTATTACAGGTATTACAGTACCCCAGGTATTACAGTACCCCAGGTATTACAGTACCCCAGGTATTACAGGTATTACAGTACCACAGGTATTACAGGTATTACAGTACCACAGGTATTACAGGTATTACAGTACCACAGGTATTACAGATATTACAGTACCACAGGTATTACAGGTATTACAGTACCCCAGGTATTACAGGTATTACAGTGTATATTGACTTCAGATTTCATGATAACTTTATTGGAACATTACAGATACCGGTACACCCCTCAGGAATCTTCTCTACTTATGTTATTGTATATTGAAAATAAAATTTCATTAACATTTATTAACATTTTACACCTTTGTGTGCATACGCTTCACTGGTCATTTGTCTGATGAAGGTGACGGTGTACATACCGTACTAGTCATCGAAACGTCACATAGAAACTCATAATGGTTATGTAACAAGAACTTTTCATACAACATTTATTAAATAATTAAAGTTTAATTTAAATTTTTGAGACAAAGTTTGAAACAATAAAAGGTTTAAGGACAATGGCCAGGATCAAACTAATGTCATGCATTTTTTTTCTAACTTAGAAAAATAATGAAAAACCACACAAAGAAAAAATCAAAAAGGTGTTAAAGGGAGAAAATGTTACCCTTTGGCGAGCTTTTGTCTACAAAGCAAATTAATTAATATTCATCAAAACAAACATTCTGGATTAGAGAACTCCATTACTAAATTAACTGAGTTATCACAATCTCATAAGTCTTCAGTTAGGTTTCCACAAAAAACTCCTAAATAAAAACATTGAGGACAACAATTAAGAACATATGATTAGTTTTAAAACCTTTTTCACTGTATGTGACTTTGTTTAATTCTGTTAACATTTGAACAAAATATTAAAGTAATCAAACACACATAATATTTACTAATCCAATTCTCGTTTCTGTTAATATTTCAATGACAAAACACCCCCCATGTCCCTACAGCAAATCCACAACCCATTCTGTCAGACTCAAACAATAAGCATTAATGTTTTGGGTTATAAAGCTTCATGTTCATCACCACAAAACAATGGTGACCACTCTAACAAACCTCGTCGGAGAAAAGCTGATCTGGGTCGGGACTTCTCCACACCTAGTTAACAGTGCACCATTATACAATCACAAGACCTAACCTCAGTAAGTGTTTACTATTAATGGAACTAGCCTCATTGATTGTTTTAACAATAACAGGACCTAACCTCAGTAAGTGTTTACTATTATTGGAACTAGCCTCATTGCTTGTTTTAACAATCACAGGACCTAACCTCAGTAAGTGTTTACTATTATTGGAACTAGCCTCATTGATTGTTAACACTCACAAGACCTAACCTCAGTAAGTGTTTACTATTAATGGAACTAGTCTCATTGATTGTTAACACTCACAGGACCTAACCTCAGTAAGAGTTTACTATTAATGGAACTAGCCTCATTGATTGTTAAAACTCACAGGACCTAACCTCAGTAAGTGTTTACTATTAATGGAACTAGGACATAACCTCAGTAAGTGTTTACTATTAATGGAACTAACCTCATTGATTGTTAACACTCACAAGACCTAGCCTCAATAAGTGTTTACTATTAATGGAACTAGCCTCATTGATTGTTAACACTCACAAGACCTAACCTCAATAAGTGTTTACTATTAATGGAACTAGCCTCCTTGATTGTTAACACTCACATGACCTAACCTCAGTAAGTGTTTACTATTAATGGAACTAGGACATAACCTCAGTAAGTGTTTACTATTAATGGCACTAACCTCATTGATTGTTAACACTCACAAGACCTAGCCTCAATAAGTGTTTCCTATTAATGGAACTAGCCTCATTGATTGTTAACAATCACAGGACCTAACCTCAGTAAGTGTTTACAATTAATGGAACTAGGACATAACCTCAGTAAAACTAGCCTCACTAATTGTTAACAACCTCAGGACATAACCTAATCATATGTAGACAATGTTTTAGTATCAAATCTATTTTCCAAGTTTCTATCTAACACTTAATAATCCTCGAATGCCAAACAATAAGAGTATATAAATAGTCACTGTAAAGCCAGTCACAATAAATTTGTATCTCCCATCACGTTATCTAAAATGTTCTATCTTACTGGAATAAAACTGTGGTGTGTGCTCAGTATTTAATGAAAACAATTTGGAACAATTTTTAACACTAAACTAGATGTCAAAATAAAATTTCTACCGTAACAGTACTAAAATAGTTAACAAAATCTGTATTTTATGCAGTTTCATAAACTTTGAACGTTCAGCAATGTTTCAAAATGTAATTTCTTGTTGAACAAATCTCAGTGATAATAACTGTGCTACAATCTAAGGCAGATAATTTATTCCATGCCTAGAGTAAAATCTGAACTTTTGGTTTAATTTGGTTTAACGTCCTATTAACAGTTAAGGTCATTTAAGGACGTAAACACACCAGAACTGACTGCTTACTCACCGCTTCTTCTGAATATACAGATTGGTCCTCTCCAGGGAGGGGGGACAACTCTCCCAGATCGTCGTGGGACACCTCAAGCATATCCCCCTTGCCTGCTGTGTCATGTAAGAACATGAATTGCACGTAGTATTTCCTCTCTATGACTGGGAACTCTGGCTGCTCCTCTGGGTTCTGTCACAAACAATTATTTCATTTTTAGATCAAATACGACAAGAGCAATTCATAGTCCCTCACTTTTGGACAATTTTCAATATAAAAATGTTGACCTCCTCTGGGACATATATCTATGCACTGACCTTGACCTCCTCTGGGACAGGCAGACCTTTGATGTAGCTGACATGGAGTGTGACCTTAGCTTCATCCAGGATGTACTCTACAACAGTAAATGATGAGCATTACATAGTGATATGATTGATCAGATAGGAAAATACGAACAAATATCAATGACATAAAACGTTAAATTGCTAAAATAAAATAAATATCAATAGTGTTGAAATAAACACCTGATAACTGACAATGTAAATATAAATATGAACCTCCCTAAACAGATAAATGTCAATGTCGAAAAGATAAAGGTTCAACCTGAGTCACATGACACGCCTACACCAATGAGCTTGTGATGATATTATATATAAAGGAAACATTTAAATATGTGACCCCAAACGTTTACCTCTCCTCTTGGCTAGGCCTTTGTAGTGGTGACGTTCATCAGCCGAAATCATGATGTCATCAAGGACAGATAACTTCCTCATGCTGTCAATTGTGTAACCACGGTAACCTGCGATCAACTGTCAATTCACAAAACAAAGCAAAATGTAGATTTAATGACTAAACATTTCAACAAAGTCTTCAACTGTAGGGGCTAGATAAATAATATGGGATTCCGCGAAGCTATGTACTGTAATACTTACAGACAGTGGGTTACCCTGTAGTAACTACTTACAGACAGTGGGTTACCCTGAAGTAAATACTTACAGACAGTGGGTTACCCTGTAGTAACTACTTACAGAAAGTGGGTTACCCTGAAGTACATACTTACAGACAGGGGGTTACCCTGAAGTACATACTTACAGACAGTGGGTTACCCTGTAGTAACTACTTACAGACAGTGGGTTACCCTGTAGTAAATACTTCCAGACAGTGGGTTCCCCTGAAGTACATACTTACAGACAGTGGGTTACCCTGTAGTAAATACTTACAGACAGTGGGTTTCCCTGTAGTAAATACTTACAGACAGTGCGTTACCCTGTAGTAAATACTTACAGACAGTGGGTTACCCTGTAGTAAATACTTACAGACAGTGGGTTACCCTGTAGTAAATACTTACAGACAGTGGGTTACCCTGTAGTAAATACTTACAGACAGTGGGTTACCCTGTAGTAAATACTTACAGACAGTGGGTTACCCTGTAGTAAATACTTACAGACAGTGGGTTACCCTGTAGTAAATACTTACAGACAGTGGGTTACCCTGTAGTAAATACTTACAGACAGTGGGTTACCCTGTAGTAAATACTTACAGACAGTGGGTTACCCTGTAGTAAATACTTACAGACAGTGGGTTACCCTGTAGTAAATACTTACAGACAGTGGGTTACCCTGTAGTAAATACTTACAGACAGTGGGTTACCCTGTAGTAAATACTTACAGACAGTGGGTTACCCTGTAGTAAATACTTACAGACAGTGGGTTACCCTGTAGTAAATACTTACAGACAGTGGGTTACCCTGTAGTAAATACTTACAGACAGTGGGTTACCCTGTAGTAAATACTTACAGACAGTGGGTTACCCTGTAGTAAATACTTACAGACAGTGGGTTACCCTGTAGTAAATACTTACAGACAGTGGGTTACCCTGTAGTAAATACTTACAGACAGTGGGTTACCCTGTAGTAAATACTTACAGACAGTGGGTTACCCTGTAGTAAATACTTACAGACAGTGGGTTACCCTGTAGTAAATACTTACAGACAGTGGGTTACCCTGTAGTAAATACTTACAGACAGTGGGTTACCCTGTAGTAAATACTTACAGACAGTGGGTTACCCTGTAGTAAATACTTACAGACAGTGGGTTACCCTGTAGTAAATACTTACAGACAGTGGGTTACCCTGTAGTAAATACTTACAGACAGTGGGTTACCCTGTAGTAAATACTTACAGACAGTGGGTTACCCTGTAGTAAATACTTACAGACAGTGGGTTACCCTGTAGTAAATACTTACAGACAGTGGGTTACCCTGTAGTAAATACTTACAGACAGTGGGTTACCCTGTAGTAAATACTTACAGACAGTGGGTTACCCTGTAGTAAATACTTACAGACAGTGGGTTACCCTGTAGTAAATACTTACAGACAGTGGGTTACCCTGTAGTAAATACTTACAGACAGTGGGTTACCCTGTAGTAAATACTTACAGACAGTGGGTTACCCTGTAGTAAATACTTACAGACAGTGGGTTACCCTGTAGTAAATACTTACAGACAGTGGGTTACCCTGTAGTAAATACTTACAGACAGTGGGTTACCCTGTAGTAAATACTTACAGACAGTGGGTTACCCTGTAGTAAATACTTACAGACAGTGGGTTACCCTGTAGTAAATACTTACAGACAGTGGGTTACCCTGTAGTAAATACTTACAGACAGTGGGTTACCCTGTAGTAAATACTTACAGACAGTGGGTTACCCTGTAGTAAATACTTACAGACAGTGGGTTACCCTGTAGTAAATACTTACAGACAGTGGGTTACCCTGTAGTAAATACTTACAGACAGTGGGTTACCCTGTAGTAACTACTTACAGACAGTGGGTTACCCTGTAGTAACTACTTACAGACAGTGGGTTACCCTGTAGTAAATACTTACAGACAGTGGGTTACCCTGTAGTAAATACTTACAGACAGTGGGTTACCCTGTAGTAAATACTTACAGACAGTGGGTTACCCTGTAGTAAATACTTACAGACAGTGGGTTACCCTGTAGTAAATACTTACAGACAGTGGGTTACCCTGTAGTAAATACTTACAGACAGTGGGTTACCCTGTAGTAAATACTTACAGACAGTGGGTTACCCTGTAGTAAATACTTACAGACAGTGGGTTACCCTGTAGTAAATACTTACAGACAGTGGGTTACCCTGTAGTAAATACTTACAGACAGTGGGTTACCCTGTAGTAAATACTTACAGACAGTGGGTTACCCTGTAGTAAATACTTACAGACAGTGGGTTACCCTGTAGTAAATACTTACAGACAGTGGGTTACCCTGTAGTAAATACTTACAGACAGTGGGTTACCCTGAAGTACATACTTACAGACAGTGGGTTACCCTGAAGTACATACTTACAGACAGTGGGTTACCCTGTAGTACATACTTACAGACAGTGGGTTACCCTGTAGTAAATACTTACAGACAGTGGGTTACCCTGTAGTTACTACTTACAGACAGTGGGTTACCATGTAGTAACTACTTACAGACAGTGGGTCACCCTGTAGTAAATACTTACAGACAGTGGGTTACCCTGTAGTAACTACTTACAGACAGTGGGTTACCCTGTAGTAACTACTTACAGACAGTGGGTCACCCTGTAGTTAATACTTACAGACAGTGGGTTACCCTGTAGTAAATACTTACAGACAGTGGGTTACCCTGTAGTACATACTTACAGACAGTGGGTTACCCTATAGTAAATACTTACAGACAGTGGGTTACCCTGTAGTACATACTTACAGACAGTGGGTTACCCTGTACTAACTACTTACAGACAGTGGGTTACCCTGCAGTAAATACTTACAGACAGTGGGTTACCCTGTAGTACATACTTACAGACAGTGGGTTACCCTGTACTAACTACTTACAGACAGTGGGGTACCCTGTAGTAACTACTTACAGACAGTGGGTCACCCTGTAGTTAATACTTACAGACAGTGGGTTACCCTGTAGTAGCTACTTACAGACAGTGGGTTACCCTGTAGTACATACTTACAGACAGTGGGGTACCCTGTACTAAATACTTACAGACAGTGGGTTACCCTGTAGTAAATCCTTACAGACAGTGGGTTACCCTGTAGTAAATCCTTACAGACAGTGGGTTACCCTGTAGTAAATCCTTACAGACAGTGGGTTACCCTGTAGTAAATACTTACAGACAGTGGGTTACCCTGCAGAATGAGGTTCCGTAGCTTCGGTAGTGTGCCCAGTTTACGTACTACATCTAGGAGGTCAGTGAGATTATTGTTGCTCAGATCCAGAGACAACATCTGAGGCCTGCAACACAGCAACACATCCAGTTATCATGATTATGATATTGACAGAATAGTAAACTCCAGCAAATGTTGCCAACACAGATGTACACAAATTAGAAGTTTATTCAACACAGATGTACACAAATTAGAAGTTTATTCAACACAGATGACATCTTAAGTTATAAATTTATTGATCACATGATTTTATGACCATGACATCTTTTTGTAGATAATTGTAATCTAATGCGCTTGCATTATCACCCATTATGTTATTAGTATTGAAACGATACATATAACATCATGACCATGTTTTGTGACAGTACATACATTACTGATAATTTGAACATTTTACCATTTAATATAATGTACTTGAAACTTGTCCCCAGGTTTTTCTGTTATTTAGCCTAGCTTAAATGTTTTATAAATCTCAAACAAAAAGGAAGCATCTCTTCTGATCATACAGATATTGCATAAAAAATCTTACAGATGTCTAGCTTACCAGAAGTCTTCACTGGGGTCAAATCCATGACTTACCAGTAGTCCCCTGTAAGATAGTCTCCCTTTGTTGAAGCTTACTTGACTTACCAGTAGTCCCCAGTAAGATAGCCTCCCATTGTTGAAGCCTATAGTACTTGACTAACCAGTAGTCCCCTGTGAGATAGTCTCCCTTTGTTGAAGCTTACTTGACTTACCAATAGTCCCCAGTAAGATAGCCTCCCTTTGTTGAAGCCGTCTTGACTTACCAGTAGTCCACTGTGAGATAGCCTCCCTTTGTTGACGCCTACATGACTTACCAGTAGTCCTCTGTGATATAGCCTCCCTTTGTTGACGCCTAAATGACTAACCAGTAGTCCCATGTTAGATAGACTCCCTTTGTTGAAGCCTACATGACTTACCAGTAGTCCTCTGTGAGATAGTCTCTCTTTGTTGAAGCCTACATGACTTACCAGTAGTCCTCTGTGAGATAGACTCCCTTTGTTGAAGCCTACATGACTAACCAGTAGTCCTCTGTGAGATAGTCTCCCTTTGTTGAAGCTTACCAATAGTCCCCAGTAAGATAGCCTCCCTTTGTTGAAGCCGTCTTGACTTACCAGTAGTCCCCTGTGATATAGCCTCCCTTTGTTGAAGCCTACATGACTTACCAGTAGTCCCATGTTAGATAGACTCCCTTTGTTGAAGCCTACATGACTTACCAGAAGTCCTCTGTGATATAGCCTCCCTTTGTTGAAGCCTTCTTGACTTACCAGTAGTCTCTCTTTGTTGAAGCCTTCTTGACTTACCAGTAGTCCCCTGTAAGATAGCCTCCCTTTGTTGAACCCTATTTGACTTACCAGTAGTCCCCTGTGATATAGCCTTCCTTTGTTGAAGCCTACTTGACTTACCTGTAGTCCCCTGTAAGATAGCCTCCCTTTGTCGAAGCCTACTTGACTTACCAGTAGTCCCCTGTAAGATAGCCTCCCTTTGTTGAAGCCTACTTAACTTACCAGTAGTCCCCTGAAAGATAGCCTCCCTTTGTTGAAGCCTACTTGACTTACCAGTAGTCCCCTGTGAGATAGTCTCCCTTTGTTGAAGCATATATGACTTACCAGTAGTCCCCTGTAAGATAGCCTCCCTTTGTTGAACCCTATTTGACTTACCAGTAGTCCCCTGTGATATAGCCTCCCTTTGTTGAAGCCTACTTGACTTACCTGTAGTCCCCTGTAAGATAGCCTCCCTTTGTCGAAGCCTACTTGACTTACCAGTAGTCCCCTGTAAGATAGCCTCCCTTTGTTGAAGCCTACTTAACTTACCAGTAGTCCCCTGAAAGATAGCCTCCCTTTGTTGAAGCCTACTTGACTTACCAGTAGTCCCCTGTGAGATAGTCTCCCTTTGTTGAAGCATATATGACTTACCAGTAGTCCCCTGTGAGATAGCCTCCCTTTGTTGAAGCCTACTTGACTTACCAATAGTCCCTAGTAAGATAGCCTCCCTTTGTTGAACCCTATTTGACTTACCAGTAGTCCCCTGTGATATAGCCTCCCTTTGTTGAAGCCTACTTGACTTACCTGTAGTCCCCTGTAAGATAGCCTCCCTTTGTCGAAGCCTACTTGACTTACCAGTAGTCCCCTGTAAGATAGCCTCCCTTTGTTGAAGCCTACTTAACTTACCAGTAGTCCCCTGAAAGATAGCCTCCCTTTGTTGAAGCCTACTTGACTTACCAGTAGTCCCCTGTGAGATAGTCTCCCTTTGTTGAAGCATATATGACTTACCAGTAGTCCCCTGTGAGATAGCCTCCCTTTGTTGAAGCCTACTTGACTTACCAATAGTCCCTAGTAAGATAGCCTCCCTTTGTTGAACCCTATTTGACTTACCAGTAGTCCCCTGTGATATAGCCTCCCTTTGTTGAAGCCTACTTGACTTACCTGTAGTCCCCTGTAAGATAGCCTCCCTTTGTCGAAGCCTACTTGACTTACCAGTAGTCCCCTGTAAGATAGCCTCCCTTTGTTGAAGCCTACTTAACTTACCAGTAGTCCCCTGAAAGATAGCCTCCCTTTGTTGAAGCCTACTTGACTTACCAGTAGTCCCCTGTGAGATAGTCTCCCTTTGTTGAAGCATATATGACTTACCAGTAGTCCCCTGTGAGATAGCCTCCCTTTGTTGAAGCCTACTTGACTTACCAATAGTCCCTAGTAAGATAGCCTCCCTTTGTTGAACCCTATTTGACTTACCAGTAGTCCCCTGTGATATAGCCTCCCTTTGTTGAAGCCTACTTGACTTACCTGTAGTCCCCTGTAAGATAGCCTCCCTTTGTCGAAGCCTACTTGACTTACCAGTAGTCCCCTGTAAGATAGCCTCCCTTTGTTGAAGCCTACTTAACTTACCAGTAGTCCCCTGAAAGATAGCCTCCCTTTGTTGAAGCCTACTTGACTTACCAGTAGTCCCCTGTGAGATAGTCTCCCTTTGTTGAAGCATATATGACTTACCAGTAGTCCCCTGTGAGATAGCCTCCCTTTGTTGAAGCCTACTTGACTTACCAATAGTCCCTAGTAAGATAGCCTCCCTTTGTTGAACCCTATTTGACTTACCAGTAGTCCCCTGTGATATAGCCTCCCTTTGTTGAAGCCTACTTGACTTACCTGTAGTCCCCTGTAAGATAGCCTCCCTTTGTCGAAGCCTACTTGACTTACCAGTAGTCCCCTGTAAGATAGCCTCCCTTTGTTGAAGCCTACTTAACTTACCAGTAGTCCCCTGAAAGATAGCCTCCCTTTGTTGAAGCCTACTTGACTTACCAGTAGTCCCCTGTGAGATAGTCTCCCTTTGTTGAAGCATATATGACTTACCAGTAGTCCCCTGTGAGATAGCCTCCCTTTGTTGAAGCCTACTTGACTTACCAATAGTCCCTAGTAAGATAGCCTCCCTTTGTTGAACCCTATTTGACTTACCAGTAGTCCCCTGTGATATAGCCTCCCTTTGTTGAAGCCTACTTGACTTACCTGTAGTCCCCTGTAAGATAGCCTCCCTTTGTCGAAGCCTACTTGACTTACCAGTAGTCCCCTGTAAGATAGCCTCCCTTTGTTGAAGCCTACTTAACTTACCAGTAGTCCCCTGAAAGATAGCCTCCCTTTGTTGAAGCCTACTTGACTTACCAGTAGTCCCCTGTGAGATAGTCTCCCTTTGTTGAAGCATATATGACTTACCAGTAGTCCCCTGTGAGATAGCCTCCCTTTGTTGAAGCCTACTTGACTTACCAGTAGTCCCCTGTGAGATAGCCTCCCTTTGTTGAAGCCTACTTGACTTACCAATAGTCCCTAGTAAGATAGCCTCCCTTTGTTGAAGCCTACATGACTTACCAGTAGTCCCCTGTGAGATAGTCTCCCTTTGTTGAAGCCTACATGACTTACCAGTAGTCCCCTGTGAGATAGCCTCCCTTTGTTGAAGCCTATATAACTTACCAGTAGTCCCCAGTAAGATAGACTCCCTTTGTTGAAGCCTATATAACTTACCAGTAGTCCCCTGTGAAACAGTCTCCCTTTGTTGAAGTCTACATGACTTACCAGTAGTCCCCTGTGAGATAGCCTCCCTTTGTTGAAGCCTATATAACTTACCAGTAGTCCCCTGTAAGATAGATTCCCTTTGTTGACGCCTATATAACTTACCAATAGTCCCCAGTAAGATAGCCTCCCTTTGTTGAAGTTTATATAACTTACCAGAAGTCCACTGTGAGATAGCCTCCCTTTGTTGAAGCCTATATAACTTACCAGTAGTCTCCATTTGTTGAAGCCTATATAACTTACCAGTAGTCCCCTGTGAGATAGTCTCCCATGAAGGATATTTTATTGAAGCCTAGACCCAAGTGTATCATGGACTGAGGAGGTCGCACACACAGGGCGGACAGGTCGCTGATCTTATTAGCACATAGCTCCAACACCTTGAAATGATAAAAGTAGGTATATGGTCAGCTCTATAAAGATGTCTTCTGGTATATTTCATTTCATCAGAATTTATATTTTTTAAATCTTATATGGTCAGCACCATAAAGACGCCTTCTTGTATATATTTGAAATTCTTTTGCTATTATGTTAAAACTAAAGTCAATCTGTGTCTACATAAATGAAGTAATGAGAACAGATGGTTTATCTAAAATACTTCCTCTGCAAAACTATCAGAAAACATAGGATAATATCAATACTGCAACATTTTGTAAACTTTTAATTAACTTTTTCTCCAAAAGAGTTTGCTTAAAATACCATTGTAATCAATATTCTAGGTAAATCCTTTGTGTATAGGAATTTAAAAAAAAATTGACAGATGTTTGTCAATAATGAGCCATTACCTTCAGATTGGGTGGAAGGTGTTTAGAGTTAACCGTCACAAGATGGTTAGCGCTCAGTGTTAGCTCTTTTAGATTCTTGAAATGCAGTAAATTACTGTCAACCTCTGTCACACCTTTATCAACAATTCTCAGTGTCTCAAAATGATTAAGGATGAAGTTGTCATCCAAGAGCCAGGGTGACTTAACAGCTATTTCCCGTAGTCGTTTGGCCTCGGAACTCCAGCTGTAGTCCAGGTTCCAGGGCGAGTACTTGGAGCCCACATATTCCTCGAGCGTCTCTGTCTTTTCATGCTCAGCACCATATTCTGTAAATATGATTAATTGTTTAAAATGAACAAAATTACAAATCATGTATCCTATCTTTTGAAACCTACCAATCAATATCCAACAAACATTAGGAAAGTTATAGAATCATTATTCAGTAATAATTAAAATTGATCTTATTTCGTAACTAATTTATAAGAGACACTAGGGTATGTGTAGTTTTCTCTCAGACAATTTAGGGATTGGTTTTCCAAAAGCAGGTCCAAATCAAACAGTGTATACTTCAATAGGAAGTGTAATAAAGACATTACTTGGTAGATTATATGTTTACATACATGTACATCATCTTCATGTTCCTTAAATTGATACCAAAAATATTCCTAAAAGTATCAGTTTTATCAGCAAGGATGTTTATTTCTCTGGGCATCTAGTTCATACATCCGGGTCTACACCTACACCTTCCTTTCAGTGTGATAGAATACTTGGGTTCACACACCCGGTCTACACCTACCTTTCAGTGTGATAGAATACTTGGAATCCACATTTTCATTTGCTTTTAACTGCTGAATACTTTTGGCTTTAGTTTCTCTCTGAAAATAATGATAATTGACATAATATAATTACACCATCATGATCAATATTGTCCACTCTGAAATTCAGAAATTTAAAGATCTATGATATACCCTTTTCCTGTAAAAAATAATATGATTACATGTGTAGCAGAAATGGACTGGGCCAATCATCAGTGACCAAATTGTTCAATTGGTTTGAGTATTTGCGTGCTGAAGTTCAAAAGTCCAAAGTATGAAGGGCAAAGATTTAGACAAAGCAGAACTGGACTGGGTCAATCGCCAGCGACCAGGTACGTAGCTCAATTGGTAGAGTGTCCATCTAGTGTTTGGAGGGTCCTAGGTTCAAACCCCAGTCTGAGCGGCATTTGCCTAAACTTCTCTTTCTCCTGTTGCAAAATTGGTGAGCTTGTCATCCCTTGTTCCAAGGTGAATGCTTAGAAAGGGGATATCCAAAATGGAGTTGTAAAAAATGTGTATTCAGGAGGAGAATGAAAAAAAAGGAGGGAGAAATGTAGTGAAACTGGACTAGGTTGATTGTTGGCGACAATGTAGAGCGTCTGTCTAAAGTTTGGAGGGTCCCAGGTTGGAACCCCGGTCTGGTTGCATTTCTCTTACTCCTGTTACAATTGTGGGAAGGTAGGTTGTTTAGTTCTCACATTTGTATTACTTTGTTAAGTATGCTTGTTGTTTATGATTTAGAGACTGGGCTCTGTTACTTTCTGTGTTATTCACCCTTATTTAGGGTAGGGCTTTTCGTTCAGTGTAGGATTCCTGGCGATCAGCTGCTACGATACCGGTGCTGAAATCTGTGTGTTTACACTTTTGAGACGGCCGGAAGTGGGTGATAGTAATAACAGGAATAGGTTCCCGCTCCTCGCTCACATGATTTTAGATGGTGAGGCTGGGTTCGAGATTAACAGTTGGTCACTCATCTTCGAGGCTATTTGGTGGGGGGAGCAGGGGGTATAAAACAGCGGGTCCGGGAGGGGATCAGTGTCTTGACAGGGTCGGTGAGCCGACCCACTTCTCCTGGTGAGGAGAACATTACCGCCTCATGCGCTGTTAACAGTGCAAAACATGGGCCGAGGTGCTGCTAACAGTACCAATACCGTAGGACTACATGAAGTTATCGTTCCTGGGATATATAGAGTGCTATAGGAACTACAGTACATGTATTAAGGGATAGTCAGGGGCTTCGGGCTTAGACATCGATACATGGTGGTTCGCTGTAGATCTATAGGGAGCTAGGAGCACGTGGTCGTAGTCTACTGGTAGTACTGTTAGGTAGGATAGGTCATTACTCTACGTAGGGATTGGGTTTCTTAACATTAGTTGTCATTGTTTGGCACTAATGCTATGCTTTGTATTTGTTAAACTTGTTGTACATAATCATTCCGTCTTGTTAATAAACAGTTACTTGTATTTTAAACACCTTGTTGAGTTATTGAATCAATGGCGGGTACTACCACTACATCCAGCGATCGAACCTGTAGTGAAAACAGGTCTGTAACCTGACGAAAGAGGCGAGGTCTAGAGAGGACTGCAGGGGAAGTTGTCGACTCGTTACCATTGCTAAAAACTATACGATCACGAAACGGATTTAACGGAGTGACAACGGATGCAAAACCCTCTCCGGACCTCCCCCTATTACACAATTAACAGATGAAACTGTACTATAGGGTGCATTCCAGGTTGACCAATATATCATAATTTTTCAACCACATAGCATGCATTCATAGGTGTCTATTATTTGGTTTCATATGAAAAGCTGACAGGAGGCTCAACTGGAATCACGTTTCTCTTAAAATTTATAAAATTGCCAAACCCTGTGTGAGAAAGTGAGCTCTACCCAAAAGTTGATCTAATTAAGTAATGGACTTAATTTATCTTAGAGATGTTTACACATCTAAGAACGATGTATCTATGAAACATTTGACCCGGGGGAAACATACGTAAGTCAGACTAATTAAATGTCACGTTAGATACTTATCATACATATATGATAGGTTATGAGAGCACTGTGTATACCAAAAGTTGTGATTAGATGTTATATTAGCGTATGAATTAAAATTAAAATGTTTAGGGATAAACAACCTAGGGCGAACGGGATTTAGGGCGAAACAACCCTAAGCGTGAACGGGATTTAGAGCGAAACAACCCGTTACCCGCCCATAGAGAGCTTCTATTATGGTGTACGCTGTGCGCGCGTGTTCACAAAAATCAAGTGTTCTTATGTCACTTAAACTGAAACAACAGTATTTTCTGTATTACTCAATTACCAGACTGCTTCCATCTTTCTTTATTTCGAGTGAGTCCACAACACATTTCTTTAAGTTACAGAAACTCAGACAAAAAATTGACAACGACAGTTTTGCAACTTTTGTTTTGGGAGTAAAGTAATTTGATAATTACCCAATTTCCAGTTCCACAAGGGAATTCCTTTAAACAAAGAGTTCTTAGTTGTTTTTGGAAAGCAGCAGATGCTGGAAAAGTTTCTAACTCCATCATTTTCAGATTATTGTCATTTTTACGCTCGCTGAAAACAATGTTTTGGCAACACCGCCGCCATATTGACGCTGTAAAAGCTCTCTTCGATACAAAGTCAATACAGAATTAAGACTATTATGGGACAAGCATACGAAACGCAAATATCACTTATTTGTCTATCTGTGCATTATTGTGGGCTATACAGTTACATTTTATCAGTTAAATTAATAAAAAAATGTTTCTATGTATGTGTATAATCACTAACTATAACAACTTATGAGTTAAAGAACTGTAGTTTCGTTTATATTTTTGTAGTTCATAAAACCAAGATGGCTGCGCCCAGTAGTAATCGTGGCAAGTCAACAGATCTAGACCAACGGTTATTTAGTGCATTTTCTGTCTTTATTGAGGTTGTAGAATAACTATGGATTTGGTTCAGAAACGCCCGCGGTCAAATACCGTCTCTCCTCCAAGGAAACACAGGAAACGGTCAACGTCAAGTAAAAAGAAACATAAACATGGAAAAACCAGATACACCGACAGTTCTGAATCCTCCAGTTCATCATCTGACACTTCAAGTACTGAGTCATCGTCGTCAAGTGATGATAGCAGATCACGTCGAAAGAAAAGAAAATTGAAAAAGAAAAAATCAAGACGGAAAAGGTTGTTTTGCTGAACATTACTTACTATCATCCCTCCTCTTTGGTCTTAGTGTGTAAGCGACGACTCATCGCTCATTGGAACCCCTGCAGAATCGGGAATTTTCTTTTCTGTCTTCTGCTTATAACCTGCTGATCATAATTGAACTGTAGGGTTAAGTATCTGGTTGCATTTTAAAGAGACATGATCACCATCATCTTTGGACACTGTTTTAAGGTATTTCGTACAGGCCCATGTCAGTGTATATGGTATGGTGATCATAGGCTCAAAATGGAAGTTGGTTGGTATACCCATGTCAAGAACAATGTCAATAATGACCTTCGCAGAAATTATTTGCCGAAAATATTCTTGATTTTGTCTGAAAAGTACCTTTAGAATGCAGAATTTTAGTGGTGCAAAATTGCATTGAATATTATAATTCAAGAAAACACTTACCTGTACATGCATTCCTTAAGTATCTGTGTATTGATTATTTTCAAGAAAAATGTAAGAAAATGCTTCAAATCTCAAGAATGACAGCACATATTTTCATTAGATATTTTACAATAATTCATGAAGCTAACAAGGCTATTGATACAAGTCAAGCCAGATTACCAGAGTAAGAATCTGCAGTGTTTTGAATGGTAAAATCGCACTTGCTTTGCATGCTTTTTTCCATGGTACTGCTGTGTATATAATTGTTGTCAAAGCTACTGATAGTTAAATGTTATTGCAGAGATACTTCCTCAGATTCATCAGAAGAAGAAAGGCAGAAAAGAAAAAAAGAAAGGAAAAAGAAGAAAAAAAAGAAAAAGAAAGCAAAGAAAAAGTTAAAAGAAGCAAAGAGAGTACAGGAAAATTCAAATAAAGAAATCCAGGAACCTTCAGTGACCAAGCCGACTGTAGTACAAAAGAAACAGGAGGGCAAGGCACTATCAGGTAATACAAAGTCTACAGTTTATTATATAATATATATTACTCCCTTAGGTTTTACTTCTAGAATGAGATAAATATTGGAACTTAATTAAGCTAAGGTTTAATTGAACTTCTGGTGTGTTCTTCATTCTTAAAATTCTTTTTCATGAAAAGACCTACTAGCTTGAACATTTTCACTTTTGTTATAAGTTGTCCCTGGACCTAGGGGATTCAGTGTGTAAATGTGAATAGTGAGTCCCAAATTCTCTTCCCCTGGGCTTCAGATGCAAAAAGGTGGAGCCCAGAAGTGGAAATAAGGATAAATATTTAAACAAGAACCTACACAAAATAAAGGAAATTTAAAAAAGAAATCCTTAGAGGAAAGTACTTATAAATGGCTAAAAAAATGTCTGAGATTAATCCTTGGTAAACACGTTTTTTGTTTGTTAAAGTTGATCATTAGTAGTTAAGCACAACAAATGAAACTACAACTTTATTTCTTGTGCAGAATAGTAGTTCTTCAAACTAAATGCTTAGTATGATGGTGCATTGAATTTCCCACAGGACCAGCACCACGAGTGTTGAAACCAATGACAAAGGAGGAATGGGAGAAACAGCAAAGTGTTGTTCGTCGGGTGTACGACCCGGAAACGGGCAGGGACAGGTAAGTAAACAACTGAGTACAAACAGAAGATAGGTAAGTAAACGACTCTCAGATATGCAGAATTAGGTGAATAAACGGCCACGAGACAGGTGAATAAATATTTCTTGAGATACGCAGAGACAAGTAAATGAATAACTTAGGAGGTAGCAGGGGATGCAAAATTTAACTTGCATCAAACAACTTAGTCAGTAAGGAGAATTTCTCTTTAGTTCATTCAGTATAGCATCAGACTAGTGAGGCATTAAAAATAATGACCTCTGTCATTTCGACCCAGGAAATATTTATAAAATTACTAAGTTTTGCTCATATACAAGCGTGATTTAAAAAACTTGGTATTAGTTGTAACAGAGGTTATTATTTTTTTCAATGCCTCCCCTAGGAGTACTCGGGACCTCTGGCTTAATAGTCTTATGCTCTACTGAATGAGCTAAAGAGAAATTCTCCCTAGCCGAGTCGCTAGGAAGTGGCTAGTATTTTACCAGGGTGACATCGTATTACTTGAGGGATATTTTCTCTTTATCTCATTCGGTGGAGTATCGGACTAGTAAACTGGCCAGAGGTCTCCAGTTCTCTTCCTAGAAGAGGCATTGATAATATTTACCACTGTTACATCAGGTCTAAATTCAATGAAATATTATCTTTCTGTCTGTTTTAACAGATTAATCAAAGGTGATGGTGAAGTAATTGAGGAAATTGTCAGCAGAGAGCGACACAAAGAAATCAACCAGGTAGTGTATACAGCAACTAACAATGTTTTGACCCATACACAACAATGTTCTGAGGGGACTGATGTTTTGGTGGTAGACTGTTTGCCTCCAGTAACTTTACATCTGATCCGCAGTAAATAACTTGTATACTGTGAAATTGAAAACTTTTTGGGGGTTTTCAACTTCGTTGATTTCTTGGGTATACGTAATCTTCATCAAATTATTCATAGATCCACAAAGTAATGGCAAGTGTGATATAAATCAATCCTCCGTTTGAGTGGGTAATGATAATACACAAATTCTTGTACCCACAAAATGGTGTTTTGTCGGGAAACCAAGAAATTTGGGCCCCAAGAAAATATTTGATTTCACAGAAGTATGTTCTGACAAGACAGTGTGCCACATACCACACATAGGTCTCCTCCAGCACATACCACATATAGGTCTCCTCCAGCACATACCACACATATGTCTCCTCCAGCACATACCACACATAGGTCTCGTCCATCACATACCACACATAGGTCTCCTCCAGCACATACCACACATAGGTCTCCTCCAGCACATACCACACATAGGTCTCCTCCTGCACATACCACACATAGGTCTCCTCCAGCACATACCACACATAGGTCTCCTCCAGCACATACCACACATAGGTCTCGTCCATCACATACCACACATAGGTCTCCTCCTGCACATACCACATATAGGTCTCCTCCAGCACATACCACACATAGGTCTCCTCCTGCACATACCACACATAGGTCTCCTTCAGCACATACACATACATTACATTGCACACATGGAGGTACATCCTTAAATGACATTAACTGTATTTCCTTGGCTCAAGCGCACACAAGGTAACATCAAAGTTTCATTCATTACAAGGTTTCCTGGACTACAACTTCTTAAAATTATTCAATGTCACATCATGAATTTGTGTGCTGTGTAGATGCAATTTACTTACTTAACTCATTCACTCCTGAAATTTCATGAGCTATTCCAACCTTTGAATGGGAGGAGTTCAAATGTGTCTTTAGGGGTAACCGGTTAATGATTTAATAGAAGTCCTTACCTGAAATAAGCAAGGATCAAATTTCAAATCACTGCAATGTATGTATAGCTACTGTACATGATGAACAATAAATTGTATAAGTGTGAATGATAACCACATGGTGTACAAAGGGCAGCGGGCCTTAAATGTAGGTCACATGGAACTTTAAAGATACATGTATTGTGGCAAGGTCAATGTGTCAATATTATCCACAAGGTCAAAAGCACAGTAGGGTGTTCAGTTTTTTGAGACCATGTTCACTTCGTTTCTATTAAAAAGGGGTTTTGATAATCCCATTCAAGGCAAAGATCAAAGTCAATATTATCATCAATATTTTTCAATGTTTACAAGTTTCCAAAGCCCTCATTACCCTACCTACATGAGGTTTCTGTGGAGAGGAAGGCCCAAGGTTACATATGAGGTCAAGTTCAAGGTTATATTAATTGGTCAAGGGTAAGAAGATTAATGTACATAGGATAAGTTTAATAGGTCTTACATCAGTTTAAAGTATATAACAGTTCTTCAGGAAAGGAGATTAAGTTGAATTTCATGTCAAAGAGCTGTTTGGATGGCTTTTGAGGTCACAGGTCAAGGTCAACATTTCTATGAAAATGTCATTTTTGTAAACAGTAGTTAGCCCACATGAATGGTGTCATTATGCAGTATCAATCATTACCTTATGAAAACTTCCTGCAGTTATAATGATAGTGGCCTGTGAAGGACTGTCCACATTAAATGTTGTTTAAAAATAAATGATAACATCTAATGTGACTCATGTCTCTTGATTGGCGCTGAGATCAGCATTACAGTCAATTAATTTTGCCAACACTTTAACAAATCTCGATTAATTCAGGCCCTTTTGGCCTCATCATGCTTTTACGGTGGGTAAATATTTCTAATGGTTCATGTCCTAGTGTTGGTGTTAGTGTTATAAATCCTCTGGGGGTCAATTACATACCATTGGTATACATCGAAAACACACACACACACACTGGGGCTTGTTGTAATAATATCTTTCATGTACTTCAAAAAGCAGGTCTTTGAAAGAAAAACTTTTATTTTTCAGCAATCAACACGGGGAGATGGTTTGTTTTTCCAGTCCAAGATGGGATTGTTACCAAAGTGATACCGTGTCTTTACATTCCATATTGGCCAAATCTACACCAGAACTAGCTAAATATACACCCAAAATAGCTAAATCTACACCCGAACTGCCAATTCTACACAGAACTAGCTAAGTCATGTAGAGCTACACATGTCTGGTGTGTGAACGGTCTACTCTTGTCCGTATATTGGATTGTTCTTCATCACCTCTATATAGGTTACGTATTATTGCTCAAACCACAGGGACATAGAGTCATAGGATTATCAGTTTTAGGTATTATCCATAAGTTGTCTCCCCATTTCTGGTCAAAACATTGTGCTTGTACCATCTACATCAATGTAATTGCTATAAGGCCAGAATTATTTTTAGAATCTTGTCAGTCTAGAACAGGTCAGTTTGTGTGTGGAGTGGAACCTGCTTGTCTGGACATTTTGGTTAGTGTGTACGTACATTTGAACCACGCTAGTATTATTAGTTTATTTTTCATCAAAATAAGACAGCAATATCGATGATAAATTGTGATAATTGGAGTTGTTGGTTGGGGAGCCTCTGTAGAACATCCGTGGCAGTTTTAGTCAACTTTGACCTGCTTTGAAGCACATCTGAACCATTGACAGGTTTACCCTATACCATAGAGGAACTGTGGCCAACTGTGGCCACCTTTTTATTTGTTTTGTTTTTGTTTTTATCCATCATTATTAAAATTTATGATATGCAAACTCTGTGTGTGAAAGGAGTTTTATGCTGTGGAAGCTTTATATAAGGAATTTCAAACTATGCAAGTTTGTTTTGAGTTATGGTGTAAAGGAAGCTTGTTGTTGTTGTTGTTGTGCTGGGATACGTTTATTTTAGGTGTATTAATATCAGACTTTGGTTTCAAGAAACAATTAACCACGTAAATGAGATGTTTTTTACTTAACTTCAATTCCAAAATAGGGGAAGCATTGCTAAACTTCAGGAAAATATGTGGAAAGGTAAGCTAGGGTCTGGTATTACAGGTGTATCGTATGATTTATAATCATGTGTGGAAAGGTAAGCTAGGGTCTGGTATTATACAGGTGTATCGTATGATTTATAATCATGTGTGGCGGTTTCATCAGATAATTGTTTGAATGAACCAGAAGGAAAAATCTTAGCTCTGCTAAGGAACATAACCGAAAGTTTGTACATGAAAACGAGGCCTGGCATTTTTACTGATGTATCTCATGATTCATAATGATATTGGAAAGTTAAGTGAGATGATTTAGTCTAAAATAGATTACATGGGATTGTTCCAGTACCAAGCCTGTCTACAGTACACATGCACTCAGATCAGTTTCCTGTTGTTGGATAGGTTCTAGATCACCGTCATTCACACATGCCAGTGTCGTGAATAACCTTTTAGTACTTATGCAATGAAGATGTTCATTGATGTTTTTCTCTCGTCTTATATTTGATATTTGCTCACATCATACTTGAAATATTTTGCCATAAATATCTATTCTAAGCAAGCTCTTGACACAAGAAAACCCTAAGGAGAAAATTTAAATGAAGCAATGGATATAAATATAGACAGACATGCCCCCTCCACCATTTAATTATTTCTATTTAAGGCTGTGTAATTATTGTCATGTCCTGTGTTTAACAAGTACAATATAATATTGTATTATGTACAATGTCGTTATAGGTAATGTGATGTCTGAAATTGTGTTTACATTTGAATAAAAAAAATTAAAACACGGAAAGTTATTTTATTCTGTATTTAGATGCCATTGTGATGTAAAGAAGCTAGTATATCATATCAACTTTGTCGTGCTTCTAAGAAATTTATACATATATACTGTATTTGTCCTTGACCTCGAGCAAAGGTCAAGAATGTATTTGAATCTTATTTATCATTACTCCGGTATCAGTTTTGGAAAGACATAAACTGATGTATTTCTGAATAGGTATAAGATGTGTAAAGCATTGGAAGTTCATGTTAAACAACAAATCAATATAAAGAGGGAATATTTATTCATTAAGACATGATATACAAAACAAATCATCTTTTAGCTTTGGTAATGAACTATATATATCATATATATATTTAAACATAAATGATGAAAAATGACATTTTGTCAAACAAAATATATAATGTTCATTTCAGAGAGAGAAAATCTTAATAAATTAATAAATTACATAAACAACAATGACTGAGTAATCGAGTAACCTCTTGCAAATATAAGGTCATCATGCTATATGAAATGTAAGACAAAGGACCAACCTTGATCCGATAGAAGTATTCTTTCTACCAGTAATTAAATTTCATTATCAGTATCCAATAATTCATGCATTAATCAAGATTGTTTCAAATAAATGAAGCTTTTACATCCCAATATTTTAAACCATACACAATTTGTACAGCGCCCTATCTAAAATAAAGGAAAGTACTATTAATTCACTTTATGACGGAAACAATATTAAAGACATTCGGAGAGTATGGAAGCAGTCTTACTGGGATACCTCTAACTACTACAAACGATACTCTCTAGTAACTCGCTGTGTGTAAGGGTGTGTGTATATGTGCTATAGATTGTGTGTATGGGATACATCTTACTCCATACAATACTCTCTAGTAACTCGCTGTGTGTAAGGGTGTGTGTATATGTGCTGTAGATTGTGTGTATGGGATACATCTTACTACATACGATACTCTCTAGTAACTCGCTGTGTGTAAGGGTGTGTGTATATGTTCTGTAGATTGTGTGTATGGGATACATCTTACTACATACGATACTCTCTAGTAACTCGTTGTGTGTAACGGTGTGTGTATATGTTCTGTAGATTGTGTGTATGGGATACATCTTACTAC